AGGAAAAGTACATTATAAATGATCGATTTGGTCAGAAGTTTGTTGTTGCACGTTAAATAAAACATGTGATCACACTGATCATCAGCCAAAGAACTTTTCTACTGCCACCTAGTGTTGGGAAAAACGACACAAAAACAAAGTTTGGAATTATTTTTATTTACATATATTCAATTTAAGTCTTTTTGTACATTAATGCACATTATTACGATAGGGTTATGCAGCGCTTCTTGGGTAGAAAGCTGCTGCCATCTAGAGCCTGAAATAGGTCATTACAAAAACCCAAATGTTTAATGATGCTCATGAGATTAAAGCCACCTGTGTTTGGACATGATTTTAAAGAGTAACACTGCAGACACTTCACAAAGGCTTTCTCTGACTTTCACAATAAGGCAACTGTGGACTCCTGACAAATAAAAACATTTAACATTTTGGATAATTATTGCACATCATTATAAAGGGGCTTCAGTGCTGATAGTGCATGAATAATGTACATTTATTAGACTGACTAGAGACATTTGTCTTTGTACATGATTTAAACAGAAACACTGTCCAGTGGCTCAGGGGTCACGGGTCAGGGGTCATCTGGCCATCCGGTCGTGCAGGTAGCTGGCTGTGCTCTTGTCCTGGAGCAGAGCCTGTGTGATATCAAACAGTTTGTGTTCATAGGCCAGTTTGTATCTGCTGTACACATCCTCACAGTGAGACAGAAGCTTCTTCACGTTGGCTGTGGACGAACTGGGAGCTCCGTCCAACCTGCAACACATGAGGACATACGTTTGAAAAATAAAGATGAACAGGTCAAATGAATAATGAACATATTAAAAGTGCTGTGTAATGTTTTGGTTGGGTGGCTCTGCATAGAATGTTCCACATTGACATTAAACAGCTCTTCTACTGCTTCATGATATCACAAGGTGGAACAGAGTATTTTGAGCTTTGGCGATGTAGACAAACTTAGGGTACACTCACACTAAGACTTTAAAACTGTGCCCAAGCACAGATTGCCCCTAAAGCACCATACGATTGTACAGTGTGAACACAATCGATTAGAGGAGGTGGACCAAAGCAGAGCACAGAGCTCATGTACACACACACACACACACACACACACGCACACACACGCGCACACACACACACACACACGCACACACACACGCGCACGCACGCGCGCACACACGCGCACGCACGCGCGCACACACACGTACACACGCACACAGACGCACGCGCGCACACACACGCACGCGCACACACACGCACGCGCGCACACACACACACACACACACACACACACGCACACACGACTTTACTATAAAGATCCCAGTCAGGTGCACTGATATTCCTCATATGAGGGGAACAGTGAATAAAGTTTGCTCTAAACACACAGTGAATCTGCGCTCACCTTCTATAAGGACTGTGACAGACAGAAGTTTAGCTGCCTCTCATCTGTCCTCACTGCTCCACAGTTTTTATATTATATTATCTCCATAAACTCACAGAGGAGAAGCACATATCATAAAAGGACTCACATCTGCCTCACCATTTAATAGATATTTCTGCCACAGGACTTTTTTTCTCCATTAAAAGCGTTAGCACATGTAAACAAACAGCGCCGTATGATGATGTCATCAGCTGTGGCCTGGTTTGGTTGTGCAACATAGAACCATGGATCTATTAAAATAACTGGATACAGTATTGCTGCTTGTAGCTGCCTCCAGTTGACGTAGTGTCACTCACTGGAACTTCAGCAGAAAAAGTCCCGTGGGCCGAGACAAGATTTTTATCATAGAGGCAATATAATCACAAACTGCTCGTGTTCGTCTGACAGGTCACCTACAGCTTTCAAAATTATCGGATTTGTTGGCGATTTTTACCTATTTTTAGATCATAAACTTTTTCTCGCTCAAAATCCTTGAGTTGTCTTAAAAAAACGCTTTATAATCGTTAGCTTCGGCTACGCACTGCTCCGCTCTAGTTCCTCTCGCTCTGATTGGTCAAAGCGATCACGTGATACACGAGCCCGCGCTCTGTGCTTGTGGTCGCATGCATTCGCGTGTGCCCGTGGGAGAAAAGAGCACTACTGCGCATGCTCGGTCGGCCCACGGCCACCGGAAGTACCTAGCCATGCTAGGCTAAGCTGGGATCATGCGCCATTAAGCTCAGCCCATTGACTTGAATGGACGGCCATTTTGGAACCTGGGGGCTTGGGTAGAACCCACAGCAATTATCCTTGAGCACAGCACAGTTTTAAAGTCCTAGTGTGAGTGTGTGAGCCCTAATAATAAAGAGTTACTCAAACATGTGTGAATGAAACAAAACACAACTCCAGGTCTGGGTCATTCTAAGATAAGTTAAAGCTCACAAGACTCCAGTGACAGATTTCACTTTGTTGCTGTGGTATAAGAGCATTAAACAACTTGGAGCCATTATGCAGTTTTAATGCACTTTGTGGTTCCATGGCAGCGGCGTGTTTGGCTGCTTTTGTGGCTGCCTGACTCACACACTCAGCAGATTTTGAAACTGTTTGTTATTTGAGCTCAGTTTGTAACATGCTGTCATGGGATTATAACCAGCTCAGAAGTGCAGCCTGTGCAGCTCGAAGGACACAAGTAAACACTGTTGGATTGAGTGAAATGTGCTGTTTGTTTTCCCCATATCCATGGAGAACATGCAAGAGGCCAGTTAGGGAGCCAACTGTGAACTTTTAAGATGCTCCAGGTTTTTACCTCATATGTGGCAGCAAATGTAGCAGAAGAACTCCAGAAGAAACACTTGAGGAAATGAACCATTTCATCACTGGCCGAGACACCAGAGCGGCATAAGAGTGAGGCCTTTCCTGTTGTGTTCACTGGCGCCCCCTGCAGGCTGCTGTGATGCTGCAGGACTCAGAGGAGGGACACTTTCTGCTCTTCCTCTCCTCAAACTGCCCTGACACAGATCTGCTGACCCTCCCTGACCAGTCCTCCTGTTAAACTGATCTGAGACCTTTGACTGAGACACAAAGGACAATGAGACACACTCAGTGGAAATGTTGCATCAACTGCAACATTTTGCGGCAGCAAAACTTGAATTTCCCTCTGGATTAATAAAGCATCTATCTGTTGGTCTTTAACTTTGATCACTTAGGTAATATTATTAGTGTTAAAAATGTCAACTATTCGTTCAATACATGAATCTGGGGCCACACATTCTTCAACCCAACATGTATGTAGATGGTGGGCAGCCTACAGAACTAACGTTAGCAGTTCTATCATGTCTTACTTTTTGAAGATCTCCTCAAACAGAGTGCTGGAGAGAGCTCTGTGGCATTTGAACTCCTCCAGGTAAACAAAGTCCCCCTTCAAGACCACTCTCTGGAACAAGACCTCTGCCCAGTCTGGACTGTAGCTGTACGCCTCCGACAGCACAAACACCTGTGTGCACATACAAAACAAAAAATCATAAAAACTAAACAAAACTAAACATATGTGTACTAACTGGTATGGAGACTCACTGGATTATTTGAAGTGTGTTATTAACAACTATCAGTCACAGTTACAAACCCCTTATCCAAGGGTGTCTGTAGCTCAGACCTCAAAAGACATAACTGTACATAAACTGTACATAAACTTTACTCATATTCTGGGACATAGGTAAATAGTCCTGTAGTTTACTAAGGATGGACAAGGCTGCAGTCTTGATTTGTCTCTTTCTTTCTGCCATTACAGGTTTCATAAGATAAGAATGCAACTTTAAATTTTAAATATATCACATGAAGTCCGCATTTTTTAAGTACTGAAGCCTCAAATGCAGAGCAATACAGAAGCACTCAAACATGCATGTATCAATGTAAATATAACTTTGAATAAGCTATTGATGAGGGAACACCCCTGAACATGATTCAGAGTTCAAAATGTGCAGAATATGTCGTCTTTAAGTTCTGTACAGATCTTGTTCTCATTGCATCACTAGGCCTTTGGTTTACTCTGTTTGCTGTGAGAATAAGAAGAGTGCACCTGGTAGCAGCGAGGCAGTGACACCGCTGCACTCAGAAATTCTGCGGGCTTCAGGTTGATGATTTTCAAATCTGGTCCCTGTTTAATGAAGTGAAGCTGCAGAGCCACAAGTTTAGCCATTTTCACACAGCGAGTGGCCTGACGAACACACGAGTCCTGGAGACACGACAGAACATGTGAGAAACACAACACACAGCCGTTATATCAGCAATTCATTTAACCCCCGACAGGTCTGGGAATAGTTTGAATCATTTCAGATTTTAGTCCACAAAATTACCACGATAGAAGCTGAAAAGAGGGGCAGGAATTTGATCATTTTGGACCAATACTGAGATTAAAGGCTCTGTACTTGACAATGTGAAAAACAGAAGTAACATCCTAACTATGCACCACAATGAGTTTATGAGCCCTTTTCACAGCTGACAGCACATTACTTCCTTTTTGTTGATGATTTAAACACTTTCTTAAGAGGTACAGCGTCTCATAAGAGCTGCTTTTACAACAGACCTGTGTGGGGGAAAATTATTCTTAATATTAATCTACTTTAGGCCCAGTTTAGGACCATTTTAATGATTAGCTCTTTGAATATTTTGGACATATCTGACCTTAGCGTAACTTTCTGCAGCATCCTTCAGTAACCCCTGAACCTTCTCCAATGAAGTCTTCAAATCTGGAGTCACAACTGGCAACACAAGCAAACACATACCATTACTTTATATTCAATTTTGATTTGATTTATTTGACCAACTAAAGAGATGTTTAGCTTGTTTTGTGCCTGACCCCAGTCCTGGCTCTCGATCATCTTGAGCAGAGTCCTAGCGGCCATCTCGTGGTTCTCTCCGATCTCTCGTCTCATGCTGAAACACAGCGCCACCATGTTGTGCTTCTCACTGTCGCCCGGGAGACAGCGCTTCAGGTAATCCAGCAGGGCCGTCTTCAGGCTCGAGCTCTGAACACGGACACAGAGTTTGAACTCAATAATACAAACAAGTTTAAGACACAACAAAAACATGCACAATAAGAAGTCGTTGAAGAAGGAATCGATACTGACAAAATGACAAATAAATGACACTTTTTCTCAATAGTTCAAGAGCACTTCTCCGTATCAGAACTACAATAGTAGAACACCACATGGTAATGTTAAAGACTTCTACAGGTATTGTGATGATAAAGGTTGGTGGTTAGATTAGCTTCAAACAATGAACCTGCCGATGGGCAAGACACTTCAACCAGGTCACAACTAACAACCATTTTGTTAACCAGGTCATGTAGGCGATATTGTTTTGATTCACTGATTTGTTATTTAGATCATGAAAGGCCACTGAATATTCTGTAGTATTCTGAGCCAGATGAAAGTAAAGTGACTTTGCTTGACGTTATCCTGATGGGACATATTTAGAGACAAACGTGTCTTTTCACCCTCACCTGCCCTCTGTCCGTGTCCATCTTCTTCCTCAGTAACATCTCAAAGCGGTGGTTCTGGTGCAGCAGGTCAAAGATGTAAGTCATCTCATTGTAGCGGCCGATTCCTGTCAGCAGACGCACCTACAACACGTAAACAAGACATACAAGACGCGAAATGGTATAAACATGAAAACAACAAGTTTTGACAGTACAGTTAGTAATTCCATACTACAATTAATATCTATTGAGCATTCAAACTTTTTTTTAGTGTACTTTCCACAAGGAAAGTTACACAGTGCACCTTTAAGATACAACTGAATTAAAGTGATTACTGTAGTGTATGCTTCTAGACCTCTCCAGTACACTGTAGTACTCCCCTGGTGCGAGGTGAGTGTGTGTGCTGTAGTATCTGTCCCTAGACCTCACCAATAGGCCGTAGTGCTCCCCTGGTGCGAGGTGGGAGTGGCTGAGGTGGCGCGCCGCTTGCAGCACACGGACGATCCCCTCCATGTGACAGGTCAGACTGAAGCAGTCGTGAGCCACGATCAGAAGCTCCACAACTGCAGCAGATAAAGCCAAGAGAGTGAACAACAGCACAGTCTGAACAAATCATAAACTCTCCTGCACACGGAGACAGTTTCCAAAACAAGACAAGAGGCTTTCAGAGGAACAAGAGACTTTAGAAGTTTACCTTGAAATCAAGCACATGAACACTGAAGTCATCTTTGATATTGTACATACTGTGTACATTCTGTGCTGCCTGTTGGAGCAGCACCTTGTCTGTTTTATGTCAGGGACCAAAAGCATCATTATGTGGGAGTCTAAAGGGGATCCTTCGCATCTGCTCATGTATTTATTTTTATTGTCCCCTGCATGTGACCCATCCAAACAGTCATTAATAGCAGCCTTGTTACTGGTGTTGTGCCTGTGTTCTGTAAAGAAGCTGTTATTGAAGAAACCTGGTCTGGGCACATCAGTTCTCCAACTATAGGCCTATATCTAAACTCCATTTTCTGGCCACAATCCTGGAGAAATCTGTCCTCCTGCAGCTCCAGTCATTACTAGAAGCACATTGCACTTTTGACATCTTCCAATCAGTTTATAAGGTTCTACACAGTACAGACTCTGCACTTTTAAAGGCTTTTAATGACCTGTTTTTAGTGACTGATTCTGATGATTCTGCCATTTTAGTGCTTTTAGACTTGACGGCTGCTTTTAACACAGTTGACCATGCAACTCCTTTAAATCATTTGGAAAACTGTTTATGTGAGGGGGACCGGAAGTCTTACCACAGTGGGAGGAGCTACTCCGTCAGACAGGGTTCAATTCTTGCGCCTGTTCTTTTTGCTCTGTACATACCATTCAATATCACTTCTATGCAGACGACACCAAATTTATCTGCCACTTTTCAAACTTGCTTCTGCCCCTGACACCTCTCCTTCAGTGTCTTAGAAAGGTCAGGATTGGTTGGCCCACAACTTTTTAAGTCTTAATGAGGGCAAAACTGAGGTCATTGTGTTTGGTAATACTGACCCCTCACTGACCTCGGCCCACTGAAACAGCACGTGAAACAGACATCATTGTCACTATGTACAGTGATATTGAACACGGTTGTAAAATCTTCTCTCTGACCGGCCCCAACGCTCTGGAACGGTCTGCCCTCACACGCCCCCACAGTGGAGAGTTTTCAGGCTCGTCTTAAAACCCACTTTTATTTTCTGGCTTTAGCACTGCGTGAGTTATGTGGTCCTCTGTGTCTTTTATTTATTTTACTGTTTACTACTATTTTATGATTTTTATGGTTTTTGCTTTTATTTGCTTTTATTGTTTTTATTGTTTTAGGAATGGTATGACCACATTTTAGCAATTTACCTTTTGTTGTCTTAATTTTTTTATCGCTGTGCAGCACTTTGGAAACGGCTTTGTTTGTGAAATGTGCTATAGAAATAAAGTGGATTTGGATCTTTCAGTGCTGCTAACTAAGGGAACATTGCAGAAATACTGGGCGACTGGTAAGACTTATTCAGGGTGTTTAGTGAAAATCCATTTTGTGTTTAGAAGAGGACTCACTGCAGTTAAGGTCTCTGAGGGGGACAGAGGTGACGTGCTCCAGGAGCTTGGTTCCCACCAGGTTTGGGTCTTCACACAGTTTGAGGAGCTGCATCAGAGAGTCCCGCCCCTCTGATGGACGGAACACCTGACGTTCTGAAACATAAGATGAAAAAGTGAGAGAAAATAAACAGGAGGGTATTCATTTTTTGAAGGCATCTCTAAAGGGAAAGTGTTTATGCATAGCTGCTCTAAACATAAAAAAACACTGAATAAAGATTATAGGGGACAATACTGACAAAAACACATATTACAATATTGAATGAACAATGTTGGGAAGGTTACTTTTAAAATGTATTCCCTACAGATTACAGATTACATACCCCAAAATGTAGTTTGTAACGTAATCCATTAAATTACTTAAAACTGAGTAACGTAATCTGAATACTTTGGATTACTTGATTTGCTGTAGAGAAGCAAAGATGAGGATATCGTAACATAAGATATTTTGCCTGCAAAAAGAAAATAAAAAGCCCAGACTTTCCTTAACCGTAATAAAAATATTATTGATAGAAGAGGAGGAGACCCAGCATGGTTTAGTCCTGTTTTAGTCCTATTTTAGACCTGGTTTAGACCTGGTTTAGATCTGCTTTTAGTCCTGTTTTAGTCCTGTTTTAGTCCTGGTTAAGACCTGGTTTTAGTCCTGGATTTAGACCTGGTTTAGACCTGGTTGAGATATACTTTAGACCTGGTTTAGTTTCCGGGAATGAGCGGAATTACCGAGGGAAAAAAAAAGGATACAGCCCAAAATGTGAAAACAAGAAAATACCGCCCTGTAATCCATTTATTTCAACAAAGTAACTGTAATCCAATTACCACTCACTGAAACAGTAACTGTAACTGAATACAGTTACTCATAATTTGTACTCTGATTACGTAACTCCGGTACATGTAATCTGTTACTCCCCAACACTGTGAATGAATGTGCTCACTGGGCAAGATTCACAGTGTTTTGTGTGGTTTTGTTTGAGTCTGCAGAAATCCACAATGTTGTTTGTTGCCTCAATTCATTTTGAATTTTATAACTGCACCTTATTTAGCCAAAATAAAGCATGAAGAAAGACTTCATTCATAATAATTCAATTGTTTACTAAAAATAATTCAGGTTTAGTAAGTAGGAGGTTTTAGTAGTTGGGATGAACATATTAAATAAGTATCTTGAGTTCTTAATAAACTATTTGTTCGTTTTGAGTCCGTTTTGTCTGTACTTTATTAAGGTGTAGTGTAACCTGTTTTTGAACAGTTATATTAAGCATTTCTGTCCTGTCAATTGTGCCCATCTTAACTCCAGCCTACACATCTTTGTAAAGCACAGTTAAAGCTTGTATTTTTGGCTGGCCAGAGACCACTCTTACTTGTATTGATTTGGTTCTGTCCCTTCTCTTACCAGGCTGTAGCTCTTGTGTGGAGGTGAGCAGTGAGTTGACCAGAGCGGTGGACACGAGCTGGGCCACCTCCTCAGAGGACAGTCCCTGAGCTCTGATAAAAGCTTGTGCTCTTCTGAAACGCTCAGGCTGCTCACAAACCAACAGCTTCTCCAGGACACACAAAGGGTCCTCACTGCACACCTGAGCAAAGGAACACTGCAGCTCCTACACACACACGCACACGCACACGCACACACATACACATACACACACAGTAAACATCATTGTATCAGATCTATTCATTAGTCAGGCATGTTAAAGAACACATACACTTTTGTTTAATATATTGTTCACATTTGTCCTTTTGTAGACTTGGTTTGGACCTGCTCTGTTTAGTCCATCTTTCCATATTTATTCATAGTTTAGAAGCAATTAAACTGAGTTGGTAAATGAAAACTGAGTTGATCTAACAAACAACAGCTGCTAGCCATTAAGTTGGATACTGACTGATTGGTTTGATCACTGCAATAATCAGCATGAGTTTGGAAAGTGAAATTCAAAGAAGCTCTTCTGGTTTACATGCATAGATTGTATATATAAGTGGACATAGCTAACACGGTCAAAAAAATCCTATTCATAACAAAGAGGCTGCCTCCAGATTGGCTCCTGTCATCGTGAGCATCCCAAGCCTCATCTGAGCGTCGCTGAACTCTGTGGGTGACTAGTCCACTTCTTTTATACAGTCTGATTATACATGTGAGGTTGGGGGCAGGTTACAGGAGTTAGAGTAGAAGTAACAGCAGTAGTACTTGTACCTTTGAGAGCTGATAGAGGCTGAGCACTTGTTTGCAGTAGTTGTTGCCATGGCGACTCTGATTGATGAGTTTATGAAGCTGAACAGAAACTTCATCTTCAGGAAGAGAAAAAACCACAAAGGAGGAGAGACTGCTGAAGGAGGCCGCTGGAAACAGAGAGTTACACTATTATTATTCTGCTTTTTACTGACCAGAATCATAAGAAATAAACAGAGTGGAAAAGTCAAAACAGTCACATGTACACAACACAGAATTATACATTACCATCATTTTATGTGGCACATTTTAAATAAGCATTAAACACAATGGGGAATGATGACATATTTATGAACATAAAAATCTTCTTTCTTTCCCAGAAATTGTGCTCAGTGATATAAGTGTACTTATTTTTTCAGTACGCCTTCACAAAACCTGAAAATTCTCACTTCCCCATAGAGTACAATCTCATTTCCAGGGGGAGTTCTTGTCCCAGATTAAATTAGTTTTGGGATTAATCCAAAAACCACATCTTAAATATGGGAGCATTAACATTTGAGAAAAGACAGAACTAATATAAGCTTCCAATGCATTTAAGAAATATATTTGTAGAAGTCTAAACTGCTAGGTTAGCTGTTTTTATATACATAAAAGTGACTGTGGGGTTTGCTGAGGACATTACATTACTTGATTGCAGCCTTTATAATTTGCCAATTGTGACCATTTATATTGGAATTGTAATGAATAATGCATTGGATTTTAAGAGCGCCTTTAAGACACCCAGGCTGTTTTATATTCAATTAGATTTTGATGCATGCAAGTTTACTTTAGTACTTTTTGACATCATAAGATCCATGTTTCCCACTCACAGCTGGGTATCCTGCTTCTTGTCCCTGTCCAACTCTCTGTCTCTGTGTCCTCCTCGTCTCTCTGCTCGGGCTGGATCTCTCCTGTGGCCAGAGCTCTGCAGCGAAGCACCAGCCACACGTCTCTATGGAACAAAGTGAAGTATCTGCAGACTCTGCTAGCCTCATGGATACTGCCTTGGTCCAGTAACTGCCCCACCAGAGTGCTCAGAACATGCCCCTCCTCTGCGCTCAGGTCAGGGGGGCAGGAGGGGGCGCCACTGGGGTCTGAAGACAAGACAGTGAGGAAGATACATGCTTTATGTGTTTGTTTACTCTAGTCAGTTATGGAGGCGCTGCACCAGATTTTTACAGTCTTAAAAACAGAAATAACTCAGTTGAAACAGTTTGCAGTGGTCCAAAGATATTCCTCAATTACCTTATGCATTCAGAGCATTCAAATTATTCACAAACCCAAATGAGAACAGAGTTTACGGTGACTTTAAAGTAAGTAACATTCAGCATGCTAACAATGCACTTCCTGCTTTTCAAAAAACAAAATACTGTAACAGTGTAAAAAGACCTCTTGAGGTCCAAATGAGACACCTTTATATCATCCAGGAAGCAGGAAGTGTGCTGTTAGAATACTAGTTACTTGAAGCATTCCCATGACAGAATCACTCTTATAAACTCATTGCCGTGAATGAGGTTTGACTTTGGACCACAGCAAAATGATCTAAATGAACTACCGTATTTTCCGGGCTATTAGGCGCTCTGGATTATAAAATGCACTGTCATTAAATGGTCTATTTTCGAACTTTTCTCAAGAATAAACCACACTGGACTTTAAACAAAACACAACAGTGTGATGGGTGAGTGGTTTTGTTTGTTTGGCGCGTTCACGGTGACTCTGGGCTTTGTTCAGTTGTGGCGTGTAGGGAGGGTGCTGTCTGGGACGCTGGATTGTCGGCGTGTTCAGTGACTCAGTTGCTCAGTTGTGTCTAGAAGTGGCACATTTAACTCGCTTTTTCGTCAGCGTGGAGTGATGAGTGTGTCTGTGGGTGTGTTTCACTATGCGGTCGCTGTCTGCTCCGTGTGTGTTTGTGTGCGCTGCAGGTGGTGCGGCTTTGTAGTTTACTGAAGTCGTGCTGGGACACCCGAGTGGATTCGTGTATAGGGCGCTCTGTATTACGGGGGCACACAATCGTTTTTTGATGTGGTTGGAGCGCGACTAATAGCCAAGAAAATACGGTAGTTCTGTTTTTTTCTCTTTTTAGAACTCCGGCATGGCACCTTTAATTGTAATATTTTTGCATGTGTATTCACCTGCGTTAGGGAGCCCGTCCAGACTGAGATACGCTGCTGTATTTAGACTTGTAATATTAGAGAAAGAAAAGTCCTTCATGAGAGCTCCATACGTGCTGAGTTCAGAAGAGACGCTCTGTGGCACATTAAAAACACTCTCTCTCTCAATTGCATTGGTCAACAGTTCTTGTCTGACTTTGTTCAACCACAGCTCCTTCTCCAGATCCTCCAGTCTGGAAATGGGAACAGGGTGAATTTGAGAGAACCAATAAGAAGCCAGTGCAATCAGGAGACACTTTTCTTGAATATCTAAAAGCTGAGATTGGTCGTCTTGAGGGGTCGTGGACGGGTCAAAGTTCAGAGTTTGTGAGAGGAGGAAGTGTGCGGCGGCTTCAGGGTCGGTGCTGTCGGTTTGAAGCTGGTCGTGACTTTTCTTCCAGAAGTTCACTCGAGTTTCCAAACGTTTCCATTGACGCTTTTGCCTGACAGAGCTCACCTCCTGCTCAAGCTGCAAATAAAGACAAAAGTGTTTAGTACACGTAATCTGACCCCGCAGGCCTGACCTACTTTTGACAATGACAACTAACTTTTCATATGCATCATTTAACATTAATGGTTTCTACAGTGCAAACACATGCAATCTTATTATGCAATATGTAATAACCGTGGACATTTCCACTAGCGCTGCAACTAACAATTATTTTGAAAGTCCACTAGTCAGCAATTATTCATTATTAATTCATTCTTATTATTAATTGGTTACTCAACCAATTATGTATACTGCACTTTTATGTTTTTAAATGCAATATGGTGAGGGAAGGCTGAATATTTACAAGTTTAATGTATCATTAATGAAATAAAAAAAAAGTTATAATACCACTGTCTTTGTTATAAAAGCGAGTACAACTGGGATTGATTATTCTGATAAGTGTGGCAGCCCTATTTACTAATTACTATTAACTATGAATTAACCACATGCTTTTTATCACGTGGACATGTGTTTCATCATGAAAAGGTCCATTCTGAACAAATGCACTGGAGGCAGTAATAATGACCTGAATGAATCTGTTTACTATGAAAGTGGAGTGTGTGTGAGTGATGGTGGTGGTCGGAGGGGCTGACTGGCAGTTACGTTTCCATTAGTCTGCCCCAGGGCAGCTGTGGCTACAACAGTAGCTTACACCACCGGGTATGGAGTGAATGAATAATGCTCTGTAAAGTGTCTTTGTGATGTGTCTGTGAAAAGTGGTATATAAATAAAACTTCCTTAGTTCGAGTGAATGTGTTGCATGTGATTAACCGCACTAACTGTACCTGGCTGAGCAGCAGCCTGTGCACAGGGAGCCCTGCGAGCTGGGACACCTGTCTGGCCTGAGAATAGCGCCCCCTGGACTGCAGAGCGTCGACTATGGCCTGTAGTTCCTCCTGCTGGTCAGAGGGGGATGTGCACTGCAGCAGTCGTGGAGAGAGGGTCACGTCTGAGCCCTGTAACAGCTGACTCAACTGACTGAGCTTCCTGAAGTCTAGACCTGTGGACACAGAGTATATGTTCAAACAAACATCTTATGCTTATATTTGCAATATTGATCTAAAATGGCTTATAATAGAAAGATAGGATAGAAAACAGAAACAGGTCTATTGATTTCCATCATGGTGGATTCTTTGTAGTGGTATTTCCCTATAACAGACAATTTTCATTTCCTTTTTGTGTTTTAATTGGAAAAAGGATTATGTGACATTTCTTAACCCTACATGTGTGATCCAGAGTTTGGTAGTTTTTACAGACTAGAGATGCGCGGATGGTGGTTTAGCTGCGGACTCTGTGGCTAAACCGCGGGTCGGGCGGATAAATAATATTTTAATTAAATTCAGGAAGGTGGAGGTTTCACTACTCAAATAAAAAACTCTGAACTCGGAGCAACTGAGAGGAGACCGAGCGGATGGCGGGCGGGTGCGGTTTTGAAAACTGGTCAAAAACTGGTTGCACATGGACAGCGGGCGAATGATGAGTTTTGTGATGTGGTTGCAGATGAAAAAGTAGCCCATCCACATACCTCTATTACAGACCAAGAGTTTGTTTTCATACCTGACATTTTCACCTGCTCACTAGCTCCCTTCCCCAGAGCATCTTTTCTCTCTGAGATTAAAGTTTTCTGTGCACTGTCCTTGTTTTAAATAAGTAAAATAATAATACTCATTTTAATCATATCCTTAGTAATCACAATGTCTACACTTTCCTCTTTTGCCTAAACTGTAGAAGAATTTAAGAGAATTAAAAAAATATATTCTAGAGAGAAATAACAATGTTACTAGTTGAATGATCATACCATTAGATTTGAGCAGCTTGTTGACGTCGGCGAGCAGCTGCAGGAGTCTGTGCAGGTCAAACTGAGAGGAGCAGCGCTGGAGCATCATCAGCAGAAGAACTGAGGCCTGACTCTCCACCCATTGCAGAGGGAGACCACCAGGGGGCGCTGGACCACTGCTCCTCAGCTACAGGAGACACAGAAAAGCAGGAGACAGGGTAACAAGTTTATGTAAATGTAGCATGATGTATTCTAGCTCAAACCTGCTCACGTTCAGCTGACACCTACAGCTTTCAGAAGTGGCAATTATTTATTTTGTGGCAATTACTGATGATATTCAGAACATGAACTTTTTCTCAGTTAAAAATTCTTCCACTGCTCATGGTCAGAGGGCTGCACAGACACTGGATGTACCTAAAGGCTAAACTTGGCACAGCCCAGTCACTGAACAGAAGGCCATGTTTGAACCTTAGGGCTGGAAATATAACTGTGGGTCAGGTGATGAAAATGTATGGAGCCTGGATAACACAAAATAAAAACTTACAGTGACAAGGGTCTTCTGAAAGTCCAACAGCTTTGCTTTTGCCTCAGCGAAGTTTCTGTAGTCACAACACAACTCAAACATCCTCAGCACCAGCACCAGAGGGCAGTCCTGTAAGAGAGATTTGGAGTCTTTAGTTTCCTACTTCAACAAAGAAATGCGTTAATTATTAATTCAACTCTTTATTCAAATGAATCAATAAATAAAAGAGCAAATACATTCTTGAACCTAGACAGGATTAGCGTTGGCTCTGTTAGTGTAGATGTATAAAGTGAGTACCTTCTGAAACAGCTGGAATCCTCTGAGTAGTGGAGCAACTTGGCCCCGCCCCAACAGCGTCCTCCAGATGATTGACAGGTCGTGCAGTGTCCAGTCGTGGTGCTGGGGGGCGACGCTGAGGTGAGACGTGGCTTCACGTGCTGTAGTTTCATCCACAGAGGTCAGGACCCACACGCACAGGCAGGACAGACGCTCCGCCCCCTGTCAATCAAACAATTTTCACACAGATGCCCTCCCTGTAGGCTTTATTTATCAGAGCTTGGGAAGAGAACAAGCGCAATGAGTTGGGACCAACCATATTAACAAGTAAAAACTAGACAGTGGTAAAGTCTCTTGGTCCCAGGTTTGATTCCCAGGAATCAGATTTTGTTAGAACATTTTAAGACCAAGATTCCTGACAGCAGCAGTTACACAGAGAAAGGGGCGTTTTTCAATAGTAAGTGAACTAGAACCAGCCTGTGAAGTCAGAAGCACACCCATACTCACTTCCTGTTTGGTAGTGAGCAGCTAGTGGGTTAGCTCTGTCCATTTATATATACAGGCTATAGGGCAGAGCATGTGTAAAACTGTGTTGCAGTATGCAGTGATCAGAATCTATCAGAGTGGTTTAGAGTGGTTTAGACCTACTTTAGTCTTGCTTTTAGTCTAGGTTTAGTTCTGGTTTAGTCCTGGTTTAGTCCTTGGTTTAGTTCCGGGTCTGTAGTGGTCAGTGCAGTGGTCAAAGGTGGTGAAAGGGACAGTTGTTGGCTAGATAGATAAACATGTCAAAACTAGAAGACCAATTCCAAGCAATAGACTCCAGCTGGATGACACCTTGGTTAATGAATCTGCACAAATACACCCTGAACTCTGCATGCCCCATTCCTCACTTTAGAATAAGCTCCATTTACTATGTAAATAGTTACATCAGTAACAGGCAGCAGGTCTTCTTCATTTTGCAGTTTGTATTTCATTTGTAAAATATGACCGGTCCTGTCCTTTTGACATTCTCCAAAGTTCCTTATTAAATATCCCATTAGATTTATATACAATTTTAACTCCTTGGTCAAACATTTTTCCTGTACCTCCTCTGTACCATATATTTACTGTCCCTCCTCTCTATATTCACTGTCCTTCTGCACAAGCCCAAACAAATCTTAATCTGAAAAGTTTTACTTCTAAAACATCTACTTTTTAATCATTTCACACTCAAGTGTTTTGAATTAAACTTATAACAATAATAATAATAATCACCACAAAACAACTTTTCATTAATTTGCCACCGGGGGTCACCATTTGCAAATTTCTGTTAATAAACAGCTTCCATGTTTTGAAAAGACTGAATGAATAGCATTGAGAATTTGTGTACCAATTTTTCAGCTATCTTGACTGGTTCATAAGAGAAGCCAGTGGGTTCTTTGTTGTTCTTGATGAATCATGTATGCCATTCAAAGGGAAAAAACAACAACTTTCTGCTAGTTCTGAATAACTGAAAAAGTAAACTCCAAAAAGTCCATAACAGCATCAACATCTTCATAGGAAATTATGAAGAAAATAATGTCTGTCCATGTGTTCTCTGCATTTGACCCGTTAACTGCGCAGGTCAAATACTTATGTGTCGATAAGCAAGGTTTTCACAGGTGACACCATGAGATGATGGTAGCACAGGAAATCCTTTACTGAATAGAATGTTTGCAGTAAATATGACTTTCATTGCCTCTACTAATCAATAAATGTCTGATTTAAATATTAAATAAAGTTACTTAAACATTTCTGATTATAAAACAAGCAAAAAGTATCATTTTCATAACTTGTTTTTATAGTGTAGATGTAAAGACCACTCCTGACACCAGTCTACTGCAGGCTGTAGGAGATATATTTGCCTATTTTGTTTATTTGAAACTTTGCAGCTATAATTAATATAAAAATAACTCATATCTATTTCTGACAAATGTATGTTTATGTAATCGCCATATCATTCACATTGAGCATTTGATTTTCAGACAGGAACTGTGTCATTATATTACTGTGTAGTTATTTGCTCTCCACTGCTCAAATCCTTATTGAAGCTCTGGTAAGTTTCATTTTCACATCAATGTAACAAACCAAAACAAAATAATGTGCTCGGTGGAGAGACCAAAGTTTGTCTTGCTGTTTATCTAAAATGAGTAAATGTTCAAACTTTGTCACATGTACAGTATATATTCTTTTCCTATTTGTTTCTACATGTATTTGACCGGCTCAGCTAGTCTATGCCTAATGTAAATCAGGCACGATGCCCCATTCGTTGTTGCCAGGTTTACATGCACCTTGAAAAATGGGTATAAATTGGACTAGGCCGGTGATCTGGTTTTCCTGCCATGCTTGTGCACGTAGAAATGTAGGGATGTTAGCAGTGTTGGATAGTAAGTGTAAAAGTAGTTGGTCAATGCAGTTCAGCTTTCATCCACACATTCCAGTCATTTACCTGATGACACACGGCGAGCACAGCCAGAATGGGGCAGTGTTGCATAAGCGCCTCCTGCAGGAGAAAGCGAGAAGGGCATGTCTCATTTTGGCTCTGCAGCAGCACCTGAAACAGCTCCTTTGGGTGCTCTGAGCTCCTGGGACCAAGAGGGTAGATGAAAAATGGTTTAGTGTATAGTGAGTTCAAGTAAAAGCAAAACAAGTAAATAGTGACTCAAAGTGTATTTTATATAATATTAGTATTTTAGAATTTGTACAATGGTAGTATGGAGTAATAAAGAGACAGAACATATTCATTGATTTGCAAATTCCAATGTAGTCAGATCATAATATGTGCAAGTTTGTAAATAATAAAACAATGTCATTAGAAATAATTAATTTAAAATAGATTATTTTACTGTTAAACACAAAAATAGAATAATGTAAAGGCAAGAGTAAAAGAGATTATCTTCTCCTTAAACTCTTTACTAAACAAAGTTGGTCCAGGAAAACTGCAGTTTGTATGACATTCTGACCCACCTGAGTGGCAGCCCCCCCTCCTCTGCAGACAGCTCCTGCAGCTGTTCCTCTGCTGCTCTTCTCTCAGCACTGAACAGCTGCAGGTCCTGAAAGGCCAGGCTCAGGTGAGAGCGCAGAGTGGGACTGAACTCAGACACCAGACACCGCACCTGCACACAAACACACATACAGGGATGAACCCCACACTGTCTAAAATCAGCTTAACGTTTTAGAGAAATTGATGCAATGCACAGAAATACAAAGAAATGTTGATAGTTTGTTGGCTTGTAGTATGTAGTATACTGGATAGTTTTGTATAAAAGCAAAAAGCCCAAAGCCACATTAATATTGGGTTTGTTGTTTAGATGACAGTTTGAACCTGGTGAGGCTATGAAGCCATCTGGATTACCACAGGAAGAAAACTATATAAAATACAGAACCTTTAAAGATTTCTGGTGGAGGGTCCACCAGGTAGATTGCTTTGCCTGAAATGTTCCACAGTATGGCATTAAACGCATCTGTCATTTATTTAGGTGTTTTTATTTTTCAAAAATACCCTGAAAAGCATGCATTCTAAAGGCTGCCACACACTACAAGAGAATATGCCCAATTTTGGCTGCAATTTGCTTCTTCCTAAATTCGGGAAGGCATGACTCAACTTTGTGCCTTTGTGAGCGATTCTGAAGCCGCTGCGCTCCTCGAGCTGAAGCTGCAGATTAGTCATAGTGACTCTACTTCCTGTGGACTTTATCTCCAGCCTTCTATGCATTAAAATCCTCTATCTGAAGTTTTGCACCACATTTCACAAATAATAGTAACACAGTTCTGACTTGTATCTAAACTAGAACTGATCTTTGAACACTTAAGCGTCTCAGAGTGAGTGGTTTTACTGTGGACAGGAAACAGCTGATGCGCTCGCGCTCACAGTTTTATATCCTGTGGTCCGCTGCCACACCCTGTTGCAGTGTTTGCGATCGCAGATTTAAAATCTCCTCAGATTCTCCTTGTGTCTGTGGTGTGCGCTGTTTGTCACACAGTTAAAATCATTTAAGACGATTCCTTGTAGTGTATGGAAGTCTTTAGTGTGAATGGATGTTGCATCTCCACAGATCTGACCTGTAGCTTGGTCTATTGGTGTTACATAGTTCTCTCCATGGATATAGATACGTTTAATACCACACTGTGAAACATTCCAACACAAAACAATGACAACACTATGGAGAACCAGTCCCCAGAAAAGTTACACAGTGGACCTTTAATCTGAAAATGCAGAGTTATGCTGAAGTGGAGCTCTTCTGACTAGTGTTCTGACCTGTTGTGGGGGGAAGTTGTGCAGCTGGACAAAGAGCAGGAAGTTGATGAAGTGTCCATCTTTGGCGCAGTAAGACGGAAACACAGAGCTGAGCCGGAGTCCGTGGACCTGACAGAACTGAACCGCCACAGACCACTCCAGAGCAGCCTCGTACGAACACCTGAGGGACAGGAGACGCTTCTGTTAAGAGGACCATTCTGTGAGTCAAGTATTGTATTATTAGTTGTATAATTTAAAATAAAAAACATTGTAATGTTCAGACCAGTGTCATTCCCATGCTGATAGAATGTGATTTTCAACATTAAATTATAGTATTTTTCTTTATGTTCCCATGTGGCTTTATATGTGTGTAATCCTCAGTGGTGCAGTAGGTTCATAGTGTCCATGTGCTCTTCTACTTGTTCTCATGCAGCTCAACATCATTCTACAGACATTCAGGAAAGGTTAATTTCTGTTCTGTCAATGGAACTGTTTAAGTATCAATACCTGCTCAAATGAGTATCAGGTTTTGATCAGTATGTGATTTGACAACACTAATTCAAACCGGAGATACAAAAATGCTGAACAGATTTGGCTTGGTTTGTTAGATCGTGTTGTGATTCTACACATGATATGGATATATTCTACACATATAATATGGATATCTCAGACACAGACTGAATATGGTCTTTGTTCATCCTTTTTGCATTTGTAACTTTTTCATATTTATAATCCATGTTCATGCCATAAGTACACTTTATTAACTGAAGCCTTACTGTAGTAAGTTTTCACTAGCCCTTTCACATAAACTAGATGACCTTGTGATAATATTTATCCCTTGTAATTGTGAGTGATGGTTTAGTTTTATCTCACTGCTAACCAATTATCTGTGCTCAAGGACTATAATTCTTTTACATAATCTCCTCCACACAGAATCTCAGAGAGGCACTCTCAGGCAATCTCAGAGAGGACTACTGTGGTACTCTGCTAGACTGTCTCCTTCTGCTGCAGAGTAAAACCCATAAAACATCTGAAGTCTTTTCATTTTCACTCCTCATGATGCTAGAAAACATAACAGTTTTGTCATCACAGAACAATAAGACATGTTGCACTAGCTCTGCTTTGGTCTGGTTTGGTCCAGTTTGCCTGGGATTTCTACAGTCTTTAGTTGTCCAGCTCACCTCCCAACTCCTTTCTGCTCCAGGCTGTCGCATACAGCTGCCTCCAAGTGGCCAATCAGCTCCTCTGCTGCTCCTGGTTCCGCCTCCACCAGCTTCAGACCTTTAGACACTGAAAAATAACAAGAGTGAAAGGTGACTATTGCCTTTCTTTCCCGACAAACATTACATCTCTGTGTAAAGCAAAATAATAACAAAATACAGCCATATTTACAGCGTAAATGCTTTAATATTTATATTTTGCCCAGCTAAAAAAGTAAAGTGTCTTGCCAAACAACACAACAGTCATCTGTCAGCCTGTTGGCCAATAGGTCTGAAGGCTCTACCAACACTGTGTATGCTCAGAGCTGGATTCAAACCGCCAACCTTTGCATCAGAGGATCAGAACTCTACAAACGAAGCTACTGCTGCCTAGTAGTTTTACTGAGTTACCCAGAGTGTGCAGATGTTGTGTTGGAGTGGATCGCAGCTCTGTTTGGCTCCAATGCTGGAGGATGGAGTTGAGCGCTCGGAGGTCGACTCTGAGCTGGAGGCTGCACAGTCCCAACAGCTCACAGAAACACACTGTCGCCGCAGCAACAGAGGGACAGTTGAAATACTGGACTCCTAAACGGTACACCTGATGCCACGCCTGCTGCAGACTGAGGGACAGAGACAGAGTGAAGAAAATGACAAAAGGTTTTTGTGATTTTGCTGAGTTTGAAAACAAAGGCTTATGAGATGGCTATACAAAATACTAACAAAAAATATTATATTCATTTACTAGAGATGCACCAATCCAGTGTTTTCAGTACAATTATTTTAATCATATAACACAGAGAAACTGGGGCTGTCATTGAATCACTTTTTAATCATCTCGAGATCCAGTCATTTGGATTAAACGTAATAGCATCCATATATTTTATAATTAAAGAACTAGTTTGTATAATTCAAAGTGAATGAAGATGTCCTCACAGCTGTTTGACGTCACTGCAGCCGTTGAGATGTTGCAGGAGGAACGTGGCAAAAGCGAAGGAGGGTCGGCCATGACACAGGAAATACAGGAAGTCCAGATTCTCCACCAGAGCAAAGCGACTGACCAGAGCTGGGCTGGAGAAATGAGGCAGCTCTGAGGTCTCTGCAAATGGAACAAGTGTGGCTTTTTAGTTTTGAAAAAAACTTTTAAAATAGAACTCTTTCTTCAATCATTAACAACTGATTCAATTGTGCTACTGCAGTGAACAAAAACAAAAAATACACACCAATTTCTCAGTCAAAGATGGATAATGAGGCATTAAGGAAGTATTATCAATTTATAATTTCTTTATGGAGAAAAGAACATACTCCTACATACTTCTGACATACTCTGACAAGATGGCAATCCACATCAAATGTGGTTTTATATTTTACAATTTAGGATTCAATTTAAACTTAACAACTTGATCACTGCTAAGTAAAAGTGTGGGATCTTACCAGTTGAGTTGAGAGTGTTAGCCGTCTGCCAGCTGAACAGTTTAGATGGATCCAAGGGATGAAGAGACTGCAAAAAAAGATAAAAGTACAAGCATTCTTCACCTTATGTTTTACATCCCTTCAGACACACTCACAGATTTGGGGTTTAATAATGGCAACACTTTCTGAAAGGTTTTTGGGAAAAAAAAAAAATCCCAGTTATTTGTTCATTCGAACCCTTTACAGCAGAATACTGACCTGCAGGAGGTGGTAGACTGAGACATCCTGAGGTGAATTATTTCCTCTGGATCCAGTGGGGAAGAGTGCTGCCTTCAGTTTGGGATACGGAGTCAGCGCCATCTTCAGGAGCTGAGGGTCCACTGTCCTCTCAGTGCAGCCTGAGCTCTCACCTTCTACCAGGACCTGAACACAAATACATAGATACTACACATTTTAGAATTACTAGGACATGAATTAACAATTAAAAAAAATTAAAAATGTGCTGATTAGTGAGGGGAAAGTTATATTTAATTACAACATTTAATGACATAAAACTTCTAAATTTTCAGGAGAGTGCTTGTCTCCCTAAAGATGTTGCTCTGTCTGCATGTTCCACAGTATGGCATTAATTTATCTCCATGGAAATGTCACTAAGCCAAATTACTTATCAAAAGTGCTCACAGAATGCATGCTTGTCAAGGTAATACTGAGCTGGTACTATTGAGCTTCCATTTTTTACATTTATTTTGGACGAACCCGTGACATGAGCAATAAAAGCACATATTATAAAATTCAAAATGCATATGTTTAATGTCAAACAGAAAAAGTTACACAGTGTTCCTTTAATGGCTGACTGTATGCCTCTGTGAATGACCAGCTGAATGTGTGAGTATCTGATTTGACTGTGTTGTATTTATTCATTCATTCACCTGATCGATTCCTCCTGGAGCAAACATGGTGGAGGCCAGAGCCAGCAGACTGTGTCCCTCCAAGAGCAGAGAGCAGAGCGCAGCCTGACTCCCCGGTAACAGCACCTGAGCACTGGTCAGACTGGCCTTGAACAACAGCCCTGGGTCTGAGAGGGAAAAATGTGGGTTAGAATTTAAAAACATAATAGACCTAATTTTCTGCTAGATAGATTATTATAGCGGACAATCTCTGAAACCTTCTCTACAATGAATCACTCCGAGACAAATGAGGGATTACTCTGTCTCATTTCACTGTTTCCCCTTTCAGTTTGTCTTACAGTTTATGTTCATGAAATTACTATTTGTTTTGTTTATAATATCATTAATTACAATAAAAAATGTAATTGATCAAAAAAGGGCCAAGGCCCACATTTTATGTGGCCCGCAAGGGGTTAAAAGGTATAATTTATTATTATGTTGTGATGCTGTGCTGCTACTACATCTCCCACAATGCACCGCAGTTGTTTCCCGTGAAGTGACTGCATCTCGCCACTAGAGAGGCCAAGAAAACTTATCAAATCTCCCCAAAAATGTCCAAGAAAAAAAAAAAAACAGATGCAGAAGGATGGTTATTTCATGAATGTTCCTGAAGGAGTCATGTGAATGTTTTAACTTAAACCTTTAAATCAAATCCAGTCCACTTTATTTCTATAGCACATTTCATAAACAAAACAGTTTCCCAAGTGATAAATGTAAAGTAAAACTCTACTACTACAGTCTTAACTTTACAACCGGCCCTTTGATGACAAATATGATCCAAATGTGGCCCTTGGTGAAAATGAGTTTGACACTCCTGCTATAAACTGAAGAAAATTGTACAACCTAACCTGAAAGATCTGTGGTGATTTCTTGAATTTTGACGAGCATCTCAAACCATGGATGGCTCACGAACAAGTCCTGATTGGACAGAAGAGGGCAGTTTCTTGGAGTCAACCTAGAATAAAAGTAATAGCAATCAGACTAAAAAAATATATATATGTATATGTCCAAAAATAGTACAAAGTATCCATGATCAAGGGGCTATACACATTTTTCTTTATGTAAAACAAAAGTAAAACTTGCCATACATGATATATTGTAAAAGCAGTTCTTTGTATTTATTTATAAACCGTTTCATCATCATGGCTAAACTCCACTTGGGAACAGTTGTAGAAACTCATTATGGTAAATAATCAGGAAACTAGTTCAAGTTTTTAAGACAGTAAAAATATGAAAGTAAATGTGGCGGCAATGGTACGCCGTTCACACAGACCTGTGGTGCTGGAGGTAGGAGTAGAGCAGGTACTGGAGTCCGTGCTCCAAACAGAAGGTGATGAAGATGCTGTGGAAGTCCAGGCCCTGACAGGCGCGGTACGACAGGAGCAGACTGGACTGGTACATGACCCCTTCACTCTGAGCCACCCGCCAAAGGAGACGCTCCAAATCACACAGCTCCTCTGGGATGAATACACCTCTCCTACACAATATACACACATGAGTCAGTACGCGCACAACTGTTCAAATGGCAGGAACAGTAAATGCCTGGATTTGCCACAGTTCAGAATTCACCTGCATCTTTCATCCAAGTACAGAGTTTTTTTTGGGAAACAGCAGTTCAGTTAATAGTATTTGTCCACTAATCCGAAAGCTGGTGGTTCAAATCCCGCTCTTGACATAAACATCATTGGCAGAGCAGCTAGAACTAGTGACCCACAGTTTGGCAATGCGATTCCAGCTCCTGCAGATAAATACCGTTGCTGTATCCTTGGGCAAGACACTTAACCCACCTCACCCCCTGTGTACTCTGGTGTGTGAGTGTGTGTGGGAATGGGTGAGTAGTTCCTTGATGTAAAGTGCTGTCATTAAAAACTTCCTTAGTGCCTCTTTAGCTAATCCACCCTCTTCACTACACATGCTACACATTTGATTTGATGAGAACATTCACCGTGCCAGTCGATCCAGTATGTCCTCTCTCATGAAGGTGCTGCAGGCTGTGCTGCTGTTGACCAGTTCAGGGGTTAACTCTGGCCACTGGGGGGCACCACTGTTCTGCACCCACTCCACCACGCGGCGTTCATCATGGAGAGACGTCAAGTATCTCCACAGCACAGATGCATCACACGAAGTCAGCTCTAAAACAAGAGAAAACCAGGAAATTACTAAAAGAGCACCTGTACAATCAGGGGAGGTTTTACTGAAGAGGAAGCATTCATGATTTAGTATTTGATGACAGAGGCCAGGGGCCTTTTGGAGATTAACTATTTTTGAAAGAAATATCCAAATTTATGATAAACAAATGTTGAACCTCATTATTTGGATTGGCAATACGCATCTTGCTACTTAAAGTCCATTAAACTGACAACAATCACGTCTTTGGGATTGAATTATGGCACTGCTTTCTGAAGCTATAATTTCACTTTTGTTTATTGATGGTAACAGAGAAGACGTTTAACTCTGACAGTTTTTATGTAGCTAGGCCCAGGAACTGCAAAGATACTATCCATAAACAAAGTAAAAAAAAAATGGACAGTTAATCAGCAAATTCAACGAGAGAATTCTAAACTGTCCAACATTTTAAACTATAGGATTTCTAGAATTTGCAGTTTATTGGTTAATAATACTTTTTTCTTTCCTTTATGAGTTTTACAGTGATTTTAATTTAATGTACCAATACATACACACTTCTCGGTGGTGTTTCACCTTCTTAATACACCTTCCCATCATTTCAACATAGAATACAAAACATAAAAAAGGGAGTGGCCACTAGTTGTACATTGTCAATACATTCTCAAAACATGTCAACCAAGGCCGGATCAGATTGTGCACATGGGCCAGTGACACGGTGCCTTGGGGCACCAACCATTCACAAATAGTGGGGGGGCACCACATGACATTTCATTAATGTTGAAAATATGAAATGGCCATATATAACTCATCATTAACACTAATTTAATAATAATAATAATAATAATATTAATGATAATACTGAACAAATCAAGATTACATGAACATTCATTCCTCCTTCCCCCAGTCTGTCAGTTGAGTCTGTCCACAAATATGCCCAAATGTATCATTAAAAAAAAAAAAAAAAAACGTGGCAGAAATGAAAAATGGGCAGGCATCAACTGAGTGGTTGTGCAAAGAGATTCTGGATCCTGTTTAAACTAATACAAATTTTGAATTGAGACATTTCATACATGTACTGTATATAGTTGGATGCTGTAAGTTATTTTCATCTTATTTGTTGGGCTGATGTAGTTAGTAAATTACATATGAGAAAAGCTCTTGCTTATGTGTACTATTTTAGACAGAAAGAAGGTGGGTGCGTGTGTGCGCGCGCGTGTGTGCGCGCGCGTGTGTGCGTGTGTTTGTGTGCGCGCGTGTGCGCGCGCGCGTGTGCGCGCGCGTGTGTGTGCGCGTGTGTGCGCGCGTGTGTGTGTGCGTGCGCGTGTTTGTGTGCGCGTGTGTTTGTGTGCGCGTGTGTGTGTGCGTGTGTGTGTGTGTGTGTGTGTGCGCGTGTGTGTGTGTGTGTGCGCGCGTGTCTATCAAATTTCTTGTGATAACCATTTCTTAGTTATACATTTCTTAATAGCATCCAACAAGACACACAGGTTAATAATCTCACCTGTGTGTTTGAGGCGGGACAGGAGGATCTCAGTCTGGTTTCTCTGCTCCCAGTTTTTGACCCAGTCCAGCCTCACACGGACCCACAGACCAGAATCTTCAAACCGTCGATGCACCGTTAGATCCTTTAGAACCTCTTCACTGGTCTCTGCAGTGTGGACCATCTGTAAGGCTCTGAAAAACACCAAACAAGAACTGAGTGCACTGACCTCCTGTTCAAAATGGCAGAGTTGACAGGCCCCGGTGTCTTTGTAGCATTTCACCGTAGAAAGAGTATTTTTGTGTGTGTGTGTGTTTTTATTGTTGAAAAATGGCTATGTGACATTTTTAACTACACATATATAACTCAGTCAGATTTTTTTTCTGAATAATCACAACCAAGCACAGAGCAGTGGGCAGAGATAAGGGTTAGGGCTTAGGGGAGCACACAAGCATCAAATAGTGAACAAAGTTTATTCAAACATCCCTCAAAACACTATTACCACTGTACCTGATTTTTACCATCTTCAAAACATGAAAAACAGAACTAGTTCATTTTAAACAGTCTCAAGAAGTTCAAAGTTATGTATTCTGAACATCTGAATGATTCATAATAATAAGTTTATAAGTGTGTTTCATAAGTTTTTGCCATAATGGTATTACTAACCTCAACTAGCATGCTAACACCAGGTTCTCTGAGGATAAAATGCTTTATAATTAGAGGCTGACAGTACACAACAGTATTACTTCTACTTTGCTGCATATATAATATATCTGTACTGGGGCAAGTAAAACACTTTACTCAATACACAGAAAAAATGACCAGCCACTTTAAGTACGATAATGGTGAGGGAACAGTTATAATGCCATCAAACACAATCAAAAGCTCATAAAAGCAAAATCTGAAACACATTCAGACACTCCAGAGAAGAAAAATGAGGTCAAACTTGGTGATAATGATTTCTTTTCTTTACCTTGGAGTTGGGGTTTTTAAGGGACACTGAAGGACGGGAAGTGACCCCAGTCGCTCCATTTCTCTGATGAAGGACAGGCTTTTGGTTTCTTCTTCTGTAAAATAATTCCTCCTCAAAAGTTCCTCAACCTGAAAGAAAATTACTAAAAGGTTAATGTCTCTTAAACTAACTTCTCTTCAGCTGTTTAATAAAATGAATAAACAGACTGTTTGTTTCACTGGGAACAGTAGCTCACAAATTACAATACAAGATTTATAATTAATAACAAACAGCAAATCAAAACATAATTATACATGGTTAATTAATAGCTTAATATGGTAAACACATGTGGGAATTTAACCAAAATGTGGAATGGCATTTGCCATTGCCACCATCCAAGTGGTTTCCTTGGTTACAAACACTTTTCTAGGAACAATATGTGAATGTTTATGGAATCTTTATGAAAAAGTCCGAAATAATCCATCTATAATCTAAATAAGACTCACCACAAACTCACGGAGCTCTTTTTTGTCTGTGTACAGGCAGATACTGTGGAGCTGCTTCTTTACACTGAAACCCTGATGTAAACACAAAACACAAGTGAAGGTTAAAACAAGGACAGAGGGAATAATCATTAGAATAGCTACAATTAACAAGACACAAAGGCTGGAATTATTTAAGTAATATTTAGTCCCATAAACATATACCATAATTAGTTGATTTTTTAAATTATTTTCTAAAAGGGCAATCAATATAATTACATTAAACCCCTATTGTGGTTCTAGATACATAAACAAACAAGAATATGCAATTAACAACAGAGACGCAGATGAAGAAATTTATTACAAAATCCATGTATGATCCAGCAAGTATAAAGTCACCTTGAACGGGGGACGTACATTAAAGCACCAATGTTTTGTGCTCTGTAACAGAGGAGATGGAGTTCTTTCAGCCTGACGCTGCCTGTTTACATCACGTTTTTAATCCGCGTCCTTACTGTGAGCAGACTTACATTTCCATAAATTTACAGCCAACATCTTCTTGTCTCTTGTCTGTAATATTCTTTTGGCTATAATATTCCCCAGTTCTTAAGTTTTAAACTTTTCTATTTCCATGGAGTCAAGAAGGTAACATGTCATCTCCAAAAGGTTACATAGTATTGTATTCAATAGAGATTAGCAATTCCAAGTTTGAAATCATCCAAATGATTCTAGTGAAGGAGTATGTAGTTTGCACAGCATATGGAAGCACAGTGCAGCACTTCCTGTATTACCATGTGACATCACAAGTTGGAGTGTTTTTAGTTTGAGTGAAGAATACAGCCTAAATACGCAGCGTTTGTGTGAATGAAACAGAACACAACTCCAGTTATGTTTGTGATGGGGAACATGATCAGAAAACAGTGTAATATTCAAGCTGAGTGTTCAGGATTACGAGTTACTGTAGACATTGACTAGTGAAGTCTGGATCATTCTTAATAATGTATTTGTTCATTACAAATGAAAGCCTTTGTTCAAGTTTTATTAATGCTATTAAGACTGCTGTTACAATAAACTGCAACTAGATGCTGATTTGAAATTACACTTGGTCTAGTACAGTTTGGATATGATTTGAATACATTACCATGTTAATGAGCAGGGCGTTGGCGGTGTCCAGGTCTCGCTGCTGTAGACTGGAGTACACCTGTCCCAGCCCCTCCCTCCTCACAGCGGCCAGTCTGTGCTCTGATTGGCCCCTTCGCCTCAGAACTGCCTGAGCTCGAGGGATCTGATTGGTCAGGACAGACGCACGGACCACTTCCTGTAAAACAAACAGAAATAACAGCTACTTTTTAAAACTTAGGCTCCAATTGAAAAAGCAAGGAATTTTAAGTCAAGAAGTTGCTAAGTCAATTTCATTTATAGTTTTCACGCACACAGACAACTCAAAGTGTTTTACACAGAAAAAAAACAAAAAAATTGCAAATTATATGAATGTTCACAACTGACCTTTGACCTTTGACCTATGGAAGATGTGAAATCATCGCAAATCTTTAAGAAATAAACTTCCACTAAAGTTTGGACAATGCCTCTGACCGGAGTTAACTTTGGATGCACACTGCCCTTCCCCCATTTCCTTCAGCTCCCTAGCTTGGACCTGCAGCCTCAAATAAAGATTTATTGACTTGTGTTCTGGTGAGACATTTCCTGTTCAAAACTATCTCACACAAAGACACTTTTCAAGGAATAAATATCTTCACAAAAGAGCAACAAGAGAAGTTTCATCTGTTAATAAACCAACTGACAGAAGTTCAGATGAAGTGACAATAATCAACACAAATAAAAAAAAAACTGTTGGATTTTGATCGAACAATCTCTAAATCTCAAGTCAATGGACTTTCTACAGAGAAAGAAGAGGAATGGAATGAACTATTCATTCTATGAATTGTTCCAATGTGTTTTATAATGTTGATTTGTAAATGTCATGTGAATACTTTATTTGTAATGGAGAACTATGTCACAAAACCCCCAAGTCACATTCGTCACCTCATCCCACACACAACTCACACCTCATTGGTTTGCCTTTCCCACTTAAGACTTAAGAGGACAAAGACAGATTTCAGTCGGAACCTGGAGTTGAACAAAGGAGGGACAACAGACCCAGGTCTCCTTCCTAAAGTTGTGTCCATCTCTTGACTGTTTTTTATCAAATTTCCTGTAGCTGATTGAAAGCAAAGCTTTCATATTTTTCCAAATTTAAATATTTGGATCGATTAGCCTTAATCTGTGACCAGAGCTGTTCAGACCTCGTGGACACTCGGAGTGTCTTCTTCTCCTCTAACAGTGGAGATGGTGTTCTTTCAGCCTGACACCGCCTGAGCCTGGAAGTATTGTTTAGATCATATGACCTTCATCCATTTCAGTGTGTTTGATTCTTCAGAACTGACATCCTTAGAAATTCAACCCTTCACTGGACCTATGAAGAGCACATGATGACTGGACATGTCCATGCCCCCCGGGTTGTATACGTCACTGTCACAGAATGACTTACTTCAATCAATTTAGACTCAACACAGAACTTTAGATAACTCTTAAAGTTGTGCTAAATCTCAGATCTCCTTAGTTTAGAGCAACATACACTCATTTACATATTTCATATTTAAATGCTTCTGTTTAACTTGGTCAGTAAATATTCATAAACCACAGTTTGCTTTGGTGAATAGTGATCTTATTCCAGATACGAGTCACTGAAATGGACAAGAATTTACAAACCTTCAGATTAATTGTTTAATAATTAATGAATTAATTAATTAACATAGGTAATTGTTTATATTGCATTGGTAATATTTCAACATTTGTTAAGTGGTGCCCCAAAACTATACTTCTAGTTAAAGCTAAACTCACAAAGGCCACGTGAGTGCTGCTTCAACTCAGAACTCTCACATTCCAATCTGTAACATCAATTACCTCCTTTAACTAAGGGACCCTTTCCTTGTCACACTACATATATCAAATAAATACAAAAGTCATGACAGTTAAAAGTGGTCTTATATGTGTGTAATCCCTCAGTCCTCCAGATAGATTCCAGAGTGATCATTCTATTCAGGAAAGGTTCATTTCCATCCTGTCCATGGGACTTTTTTAGTATCGATACTAGTTAATATCTGTTAGTGATTTTTGATACTTTCGACAACCCTAATTACTTAAGGCATTTGCACACACTCTAATGGGAGCAGTGGAAATGAACCGTGTAATGTAGCATTTGGCAGTGGGCTAATAAGCTAATTGATGCTGTGGTAATGAAGGTCTTTGGAGAATAGAAATGAGCTGTGTGACTGCTTATGGGCGCTTGTGTTGTAATTACAGCAGTGTGTTGTGACGCTCACAGGAGGTCTGCTTCACTAAACCACATTTAAGTTTGACCTTTGGAGCTTGTTTATGCCTTCATTAAAAGCTAGTTTGCATATGTCATCTACAATTTTAAAACTAATTGTTATTCTATCTTAGGGCCAGGCAATATGGTCATGACTTTTCCCCTTGTATTAACTCATCACAATTTGATTAATAAATTCAACCTGATTTAATATTTTCATATTAACACATAACAAATTAAAGGTGCACTATGTAACTTTTTGGTTGGGGTTCGTTGCCTCCTTGTTTCTATGGATATGTCATTGCTCTGTGGAATGTTCCACAGTGTGACATTAAACAGCTCTTCCTCACATTTATTGAATTACAGGTGGTTTTATAACTCAAAAATACCTAGAAAAACAAACATTGTGACTGTGAGCAGGGTCGTCTCTCCACAGATCTGACCTGGAACTTGGTCTGATTTGGTCTCCATGAAAATAGAAAGGTTTAATGCCATACTGTGAAATCTTCCAGACAAAGCAATAGCATCTCCATGGAGAAAAGTATTTGACGGACCCTCCACCAGAAAAGCTACACAATGCACCTTTAACAAATAAACCTGACCTAATAATATAATAATAATGAACAAACACAATCTGGGCTTTAACAGACCTATTGTAAATGATCACAGTTTTACTACAAGGGAGTACTGAAAGTGTTTTTAACAGGTTTGAACACTTATTTTCTTAAAATGCAGTTAAAATGATCATTTAAAGAAGACAATGTGCTTGTGTCTGCTATAGTTATGATCTAGTTGTAGATCAACCACAGATTTTTGTTTTAATTTGTACCAAAATTACAACATGATGCTGCTACTACTCCTACTCGAATCACTGAAAAAAAAAAAAGTAATAATAATAATAAATTGTAAAATTGCATCTTGAAAATTAGCCATTAAAGATTGCTCAAACATGCATCATTCACTTCAAATACAACTTTGAGTGTAGGCCTGCCACAATAATTAATATCCACTTCAAAATACTAATATGAAAGATGAAAGAACATTTTTTGGGGTCAATATTTATCATGTGTATTTTTTGGGGGGATTTTATTTTTTGGCTATACAATATGATTTCTTTTGTAGAAGGTTGAATTAACTCTATGACTCAGATACACACTAAGCACTAAAATGTTGCATTCTACTACTTATTTATTGCAAGCTCATGATTTTTTATCAGTTTTGTAGCTTTAGAATAGTTTTTGTGGTTTAAATCTGCTCTTGGGTTATTCAGGGGCATAAGTTGGTTTCAATATTATTGTTTATTATCATGTATATTTTGCAGAATAGGTCTGCTTTATGAATGCTCAAAGGGTAAAGAATGTGTCTTGTATGTAAACTGTTATTGTATACCAAAATGCATCAACGTTAGAATGAAGTGAAAACCACTGAGCTGTATTTGTGCAGTGTATTACCGGAGTGGGCAGCTGATCCCACTCATCTGCAGCGCTCTCCTCTTTCCTGGACCCTCCAGAACCTGAACTGGACCAAGGAAACCTCTTCATGAAGCCTCTGAGCTGAGTCAGGTACTGGTCCAGCACCTCCACACAGCTGTGAACGTCTGCACTATCACCTACACACCACACAAACACATACAACAACACAAGAACAACAAGGCTGAAAAGGTGTGATGTGGACAAAATTGAAATGTATTGATTGTCATCCAGACCCCATTTTCAAACAATCAAAACAGCCTAATGGTCCTTGGATCACTTATTTTACTTACTTTCTATGTATTAATACACTGTTCTTATTCTATGTTACTCTGTGTGGATCTATGTTTTTGTTCACTGTATAATTTCTTTGTTAAAATGTTGTTTGTGCAAATATAAAAAAATATATAACACAACATACTTAAAGCTACAGTCTTATTTGATAGCGTGTCATGTTTCTCACTGTTGTGGTGGGACAGCAGGGCTCTGATCTGGGAGTGGAGGAAGCTCAGTGTGATATGGAGCAGCTGCTCTGAAAACTGTCGACTCTGAGCTTCACTGTTTGAGTCTCTCACTGAAGAACACAGCAGGTCTAAGGCCGGACACAGCTGCTGGACTCCTGGAAGAATAAAACATTTTAGATTAATTGATCGTGTAACAATTACTTAGAACAATGAAAACAAATAAAACAAAAAACAAATAAAATTGCAAATTTTTCCTCCATTTACTCTATCACTGTATTATAACTCAGTATAACTGGTTTAGTCCTGTTTTGTACCTTGTCTGTTATGTGCCTGTAGTTTAATCTCAACCCTTAGTTTAGTGCAGGGGTGTCCAAACTTTTTTCATCAAGGGCCACATATTTAAACGCAGATGAAGCAGAGGACTGGTCGAGGGCCATAGACTGATGCTCAGTACAGAGAATAATTGAAATATGTGCAGGTTTAACATGTTAGAATGATCCATAGTTTGGACATGCCTGGTTTAGTGGTTCTTGGTCTGAACATTTTTAAACATCTATGAGTTAGTTCAAAAATAGCCTACAAACTAATAATTTTACTAATTACACCCCAAAGCAGCTTAAACTCTGAGACAAGTGACACTTTGTATATAATGTAAAGTAGTTATTGATGCTTACTCTCTGTGAGGTTGAGGCTGGACCCTGCTGGCTGCTCGGTTGGACTCAGCACATTTTCTTTACTCTTCAGGTAAAAATCCACTGTATCGAGCTGACGGTTCTTCAGTCCGGCCTTTAACATAAGAGGTCACATAAGTTCATCACTGACAGTTTACAGTTTTGACAACTGTCAGGACTAACAACACTATCAACTTGATGGTGATAGAGGAGATCACATACCTGCAGAGAGTGGATGGGGATGGAGCAGCGCCCCCAGTTGTTCAGATTACAAACTGCGTCCACCGTGGCCGCACTGCCGAACAACATCAGTCTGCTGAGTAAGTCCTGCTGTGAAATGGAGAACAGGACCTGGAACAGACCGCCATCTGGACAGAAGCATGGATATATGACACCAATCCTTTAACAAACGATGCCTTTAACATGAGATAAATATTAACATCTCATGTTACAGGCATCGTATTCAAAGTTACAAGAAAGAGGCTACATTCAAGAATGACTCTGCCCAAACAAAAACACATTTGTTAATTTATAAAACGAAAATGCATTTAATTACAGTTATTTACTCATCAAACTGTCAAAATCAAATCTGAAAGATGAGACATAGGCCAAAACAAAATTACATCTAAATTATAAGACAAAAACAAATAGGATCAAGACAACAACAAAAAAAAAAACATTAATAACAAATTTTAGTTTAAGACTGTCCATAAGAAGCAAATGCTCTTCCTAATGCTTTGCTTTTATTCTCATGAAAAAAAAAAACACAGAGTTTTGGACCTGATTCTTACTTTTCAGCAGTAGCACATGTTGTGTCTCTCCACAGCGTTGAACTGGAGCCGCCTCGCCCTCTGCCGTGTGGTAGCTCACTTTCCCTGACTCAAACTCCAACAGTGCAACAGTGGTCTGAGCGTTGCCGGGGGTGACGAAGGTGAGCAGAGCCGAAAACTCAGATACATTAAGTAGATGTGGAGAACAGGCTTCAGGAACAGAGAAGGGTAGGGTAAGACCTCTGGAAGGGACTCGGCTTTGGTCCGTCAGTGATGCATGATGGGAGCTGAGGTGAGGTAGGGAGGACCACCAGGGGTCGCTGGAGGAGGAGGAGGAGGAAGGAGGAGGTGAGGAATCTCGGGCTGCACTGTACATAGAGACCAGACGAGACTCCCAAGACCTGAAGAGAAAAGGGAAACATATAGAAACAAAAACTTGTCAGCAACTTTTAGGTCATATGTTTTGTAATTGTAAATCAATCAAAAAAAATAAATCAATATGTTATTAAAATATGTTTACTTTGTTTATCACAGATATAAAATAGTCCTCATATACCCCCAAGCTCGGGTTTGAACATGACCTCCAGTGTGAGTGAATGGGCTGATCTCAGTAGTGTGTAACTAGTTTAGCCTTAGAGTGTTTGTGTGTCCAGTGGCTGTGCATCTTACTGAACATGCACAGCTCTAGTACTCTTCTCTTGTGTACCATGTGACTGCTCTGACCTCTGACAGAGTTCAACTAAACAAACACTTTTAACAGATCCATGATTTCAACTTCCTGTTGATGGACATAATTTTAAACACTCAGAACTGAAACAATCAAATATTCTGGTTTTGAGTGTTAATAGTGTTTTTCACCATTGCTAGAAATTGTTTGGAACAGGCATGCCCAAACTATGGCCCTGGGGCTAAATCTGGCCCTCAGACCAATTTTTCTGTTTTATTCTCTTACAATTAAATTATTATTTTTTTTAAATCTACCTTGTGTCCTATTGAGCATGTAAACATGAATAAAGTTCTGGAGACTCAGATTAGAATTATTCTCTCAGTATGAACCATCAGTCTGTGTCCCTTTATCGGCCCTCCACTCCCTCAGTGTTTTGGCCCTTGATGAAAAAAGTTAGTCTAAATCAGGTATGTCCAAACATTACGCAAACGCGGTTTGTCCTCCATTAAAATAGCCCCCTCATTTCTAGTTCTAACATTCTGTAACAGCAAGTTGTTTTTCTCACACACAGTTTCTGGTTTACAGAGTGTTGGGCTATTGCTATGGCAACGATGTGAACGTTTCACCCTCTGAAACCTGATGTATGTATACCATTGTATACCTGTGACAGTTGTTTAGAAGCAGCAGATAAAAGATTCACTGAGTTCACACTACACTTGGTGGGAGTATTGATTGTCTAAGAGTTTGCCTCTGCAGAGTCTCATTTGTCATTCCTCCCCCTCCCTGCTTCTTTTCCCTGGTTGTTTACCGGTCGGTGCTGAAGTCCAGTCCCAGGGCGGAGAGGCAGTGTTTGGAGCAGCTCACAGAGTCCTGGTCCCTGGAGTCTTGAGGCTGCAGTGAGAGTCTCTCTGGGTTCACAGCACACAGCAAGTGGTCCGGAAATAGCCTGAAAAAGTTTCTGAGTTCATTTTGCTTCCTCATAGTGTATTTGTGTCCTTGGTATAACCGCATCCATCCGAATAGCATTGCAAATTTGAAGCCACAGTCAGACAGAGCACAACATTGGGTCTAAGAACATTTTGGCAGCAGAAATAAATGAGCTAAGGTTTTTTTCTCAGCTGTGCCGCCTCAAATAAGAATCAGAAAATACAAAAAAAAATGGATAAACAAATAATTTTCCCCAGTGTTATTATAGGACCCAGACTATGCACTCAGTCTCTGCTTGGCCCTAGTTACAGGACGTCCTTTAATTTGCCATACTTAGGGCTGTGCAATACTTCAATAAATCCAATTCTAGTCAAAATAGAGATTTTTTATTTTATTTTATTTTATTTTTTCATAGAGAGGTCTACAGCTCTGTCAGTAAAAGTGTTTGCTCTGGAGCAGATATCACACTTTAGAGGAGGACATCTGTTTCTTATGTTACATAAAATGGTACGTTTTTTTTTAGTTTGTATTGCTTATGTTCAGGTAATTCATGATGAAAACCATTTTAATTGTATTCAGTATTTTTTTTATTTTTTTATTAATATTTTGTCATCCAGCCCAGTCCTAAAGGTGAAAGTGAAATAGGCTGAGCCAAGAGTCTTTTTAATCTTTTGTTTACTGTTCTAATGTTGTTGTTCGGTCTTGTATCTGGCCTTTGCACTTTGTGCCACATCTGCCACATCTGCACCTTATGCCTCAGTTGCACTAAAGCTCAGCTCTGATGTCCATATTTGTACGAGCACCTGACCTGTATGAACTGTATGTTTGTGTTTTTTATGCTATAGTCTGTGACTGCAAACAGAATTGCCCCTTGGAGATAAGTAAAGTTTTCTAATTTAATCTAATCTGATTTGATCTAATCTAATCTAATCTAAAAACATCAAACATATACTATAATGCATGCAGCTAAATTGTGCATTGTTCAGGACTTTTTACATTAATTTAATTGAATTTTGATTTATGGGTCAATGGTGAAGTCATTAATTCAGGCCTTATTTCATTGCATAAAAATGTCACTGCTTTGGCAACACAAGAAGCAATTAGAGGACTGACATGATGAGAAAATCTAAGGTGTATGGACTTTTCACAACATGGAAGAAGGAGAGCACCACCTCGTGACATCATCTGGGATATATACTAGAAAAAGGAGAATATCACATCTATAATTGTTGTTCAAAAAATATGCAAAATTAGAATATAAAATGAACAGAAACGTCTAGAGTAATCTCCCAAACAACAATGATATTTCTGCACTTTTCTGCTTAATTGTATTACATTATGTATTACACTACTTTCTGTTCTATGTTCTAATGTAGTTTCCTCAACACAAACCTGCACATTTAGGCTGAGTTCTTCTCTCAAACAGAAAAAAACCCTGTTCTACATTGTGATGTCATGTGGTAATACAGGAAGTGCTCCACTCTCCACACCTTCATGAGAATAATTTGAACGATTTCAACTCTGGAATTGCCAATTTCTCCAAGAAAAAAAAAAAAAAAAAGGTAAAAGGTGGCTTAAAAACTACTGCTTCATGACATCACAAGGTGGAACAGAGCATTCTGGAGATGTAGACAGACTAATAATACTCAAACATGAATGAAACAAAACACAACTCAGGGTATGTATTTGATCAGGTAACAACATTATAACATGACTTAAAAATGATTCATTCAATATTCATTTTGTCAATATTGCCCAGCCCTCCTCTTGAGAATATCAAATATGCACAAATGAAATAAAAGACACATTTCTTTTATGATTAGCTCAAAAATACCAATCACAGTTCGATCACATCATCCGATCACAGTGTTTTGTTTAAAAACACTAAATGCATTACCTGAAGTAGTGGTGGAGGTCTATAGCTGTGGCAGTGTTGGTGTCCGTGAGGGCCACAGCAGTGCTCAAGTCATAGGACACTTGGAGAAGGAGGTAGGACGTAGGAGAAGGAAGCGAGGGAGAAGGAGACGAGGACAAGTCATCGTCCTCAAGTCCAGAGTCCAGGTACAATGGTAGGTCCACAGAGGCCAGGAGAGATCCATCAGACAGAGAATAGACCGCTGTAATACTGGGATAAGGAATATATGACAAGTTCAATGTTTTTTTTAAAGGTCCTATATTACACAAAGCTCACACATGTGAGCTTGAATTCATGTTACTACCTCCTCAAAAACACACCTGGAGTTGTGTTTTGTTTCATTCACACGTTTGAATAATCCTGCATTATTAGTTTGTCTACATCTCTAAAGCTCAAAATGCTCTGTTCCATCTTGTGATGTCATGAAGTAGTTTTGTAGTTAACAGCTACCTTTTATTTATTTATTTTTTTGTAGAAATGGGCAATTCCAGGTATGACATAATCCAGATGATTCAAATGAAAGTGTATGGACTTTAAAAACACAGTGGAACACTGTATTATCTTGTGATTGTATGACATCATAAGGTGGAATAGAGTGCTTTCTGTTTGATAGAAGAACTCAGCCTAATACGAAGTTTGTGTGTTAAACATCTTTGAATTAAACAAAACAAAACACAGTTCTAAGTTGTTTGTGATGAGGAAACTACATTAGATCATAAATCTGAAAATAGCGTAAAATGGGACCTTTACAGAAACAATCATTCAAGTGTTCTGAAGTAACCAAAAATGTGGCTTTTTGTAAAAGAGGAATAATATGATCTTGAAATGTTTTGCGTTTTCAAAGTAATCTGTTTATTATGTATTTTTTATTTATTAATGTGGCATTTGGAGAGGTCCCTGAGAGCAACTTCAGAGGCAAAAAACTAAGCAAAAACGAACACAACTAGAACTCTGAAAATACAAATATCGGATTCACACCTTTTGTGGTTTTAGTACATGGTATGTACCAGCTCAAATTAGGATGAAAAACACACTACCCTCACTGACTTCATTTATTAGCTAACTTACATTAGACCACTTTAAATCAAGCAAAATTCCTTTTGTTCAGTAAAAGGATACAGATGAGCCCACTGATTGAGATGGTGAAGAGTGTTCCTCTGCAGACACAGTGGTGAACAGGACTCTGGCCCTCTCTGTTCTGTTGGATTCTGAAGCAGGACACGATCTCTGGCTCCTCTGCTGTCTGCTCAAACTGAAGCTGAAAGATCCACTCAGAGTTTATCACAACAGAGCAGAGACCAGAAACCCAGGAGAGAACATGGAGGGACTGAAGCTCAGACACACCTACAAGAAAATACAATCACAAGAAAGTAATAATAAAGGGTTACTCAAACATGTGAATGAAGCAAAACACAACTCCAGGCATGTTTTTAAGGAGGTAACAACATTATAACATGGCTTAAAGCTCACAAGTAAGATAAAAACTAAAACTAAAAACTAAGGTTAAGATATCAGACTAACTTAGCTGGAGGATTTTTTACGATCGTGCATGGTTTGGGTTGCAATGAAAACTGAAAATATTAAACTTCCAAAGAAAAGTATTACCAATCATAAGTGATATATCTGTGTACTTTTGTGGATAAGTTGTTTCAAATTTGTTTTATACTCAACTAGGCAGTGACTTAGTAGTTAGGAAATAACTAGAATTAATGTTTATTGTATCATCCTCACTGCATAGACTTAATAAGCTGGACAATGATGATACTGGGGTTTAGATTTTGTAACCAGTTTTCTCTGATTTGACCTAATCACACTTCGACTGTTTGTAATTCATGTTGTTAATCAAATCAATAAAAAATAAAAAGGAATAGACACAATTTTCTCGTTTCCATTTCTGATTTTAAAGGTGCCCTATTTAACTTTTGGGTTGAGGGTCCGTCACTTGCTTGATTCTTTGGAGATGTCACTGCTCTGCCTGAAATGTTCCACAGTGTGACATTAAACAGCTCCACCTTATCGATTACAAGTGGTTTTATAGCTCAAAAAATACCAAGAAAAACAGACATTGTGACTGTGAGCGGGGGCGCCTCTCCACAGATCTAACCTGTAACTTGCTCAGGTTAGGTCTCCATGAAGATAGAAAGGTTTAATGCCACGCTGTGAAAGACAAAGCAATAACATCTCTATGAAAAAAAAAAGTATCTAACAAAACCTCTAATGAAAAAATTACACAATGGACCTTTAAATTGAAAATAAATGAAACTGAATGAAAGATACACAGATTCAACTTTTTTCTACTAGTTGGTTTTGGACTGTTATTCCTGTGCTCAGTGTGCTGTGAAGCAGTACTCACTGTGGTCCTTCTCTTTTATCGCCTGGAGCAGTTTTTCAGCAGGGTATTCACCCACGTGGAGCACAGAGACAGAGCCTGGGTGAGCGCACACCTGCAGAAGTTTCAGACCAAACTCTGATCCCACAGCCAGAAGACGGGAGCTGCTTCTGGGACTGGCGCTGTGCACACTCCCCTCCTCCCACTGGACACTACAAAGAAAGAGAGGAAGAGAGATTCATTTTCACTTTGAATTTGATAAAAATGGCTGAACAACATGTGAAATCTTACAATGAACATCATATAGACTGAAATGACAACCTTGCAGTAACCTCATAATAAACATACCTGGAAATGTTTCATTCACACTTCTTTGATTTATTAATCTGTCTGCATCTCCAAAGCTCAAAATGCTCTGTGCCACGTTGTGATGTCATGAAGCAGTAGTTTTCGAGTTATTTTACTTTTTGTTCAGTAGAGATTGGCAATTTGTGGGCTGAAATTATCCATATAACTCTAGTGAAGATATATGGAGTTTAAAAACACAGTGGACCACTTCCACATGACATCACAAGGTGGAATAGAATGTTTGTTGTTTAAGAGAAGCGCCTAAACATGCAGGATTTGTATCTTCAACATATGTCCATGAAACAAAACACAACTCCATGTCTGTTTGGATGAGGAAACTACATTATAACATACTCTAGATAATAGTGTAATATGGGCCCTTTCAGTGTATTATTAATAGAATTATTTTGTCATAGCTCTAACCATAACACATTTATGTTATTTAACGTTTTTGGGTGCATTCACACTTTGGTCCTGTACTGTTCTAGTCCTGGTTTAGTCCATGTTAAGTCTTGGTCTACTCCTGTTCCACTTTCATCCAAATTTAGATCCAACATTGATGCAATGTGAGTGAAAGTGATCCTAAAATGTAATGTTGGGGTTTCTTTCACTTGATAGGATCGTTTCCTCATTGTCACTCACTGCCTGAAGCGTCCCTCCACTGTCACCGCCTTGGCCTCTCTGTCCGCCGGATCCCACAGCTCCAGAGTCCCGCTCACACCGACACATCCGAGCAGAGAGGCCCCGGGAGCGAGCTCGGCACTCCGGATCTCTCCTGCCCGAGGACCGACGGGGCTTTCGGGGATCACAGCTACCTCCAGGGCGTCCCTCCGGAGCTCCGCGGAGGACATGGCTGCAGCTCGGTTAGAAGAGAGTTAATTTAGCGACTAAGACACATTTTGGTGAAAAAAATTAAATCAAATAAACAAAAGACACAGTGTCAACAGTGAAACATTTTGTCTCTTGTTCCGCTTAAGGAACACAGGTTCACGTGCGCGTCAGCTGATCACAGACAGCGAAGGGAAAAGAATCAATAACCGAGCTGATTACACGTCAGATTACACATCATAGATCACGGATCTATTAAAATAACACACAAATACATGCACATGATGCATTTACAAAGCTTTATTATATTATACACAGATTATAGCCTACATAAACAGAATGTACACAGTAAAAGCAATACATAATATGTGAATACATAAATAAAGAAAAAATAATGTTTAAGGTCGGAGTAATTCATTTTTACTGATTGGTAGTTACATAAAATCTACAAAAATTAAGATCCTAGAGGTTATAAATTTGCAGCAAAATTAGCAAACTTGATCTTAAATGTTATCTTTTTTGCATATTAAATTCGTTCAAAATGCAGTAATATATTTGTAATATATTTAGTCTAATAATTTGATAATATTATTTCAACTGTCTTTGTTCAGTGTTTGATTACTTTTGCCTGGACTGGTGGATGTGGCGCTGACGCTGATTGGCTTGCCCCTCTGTGTACGCTCCACTGTTAGCTCTCATGCTAAATGCTAACGTTGGGTTAGATCTGATAAAAACGTCTCACTTTGGACACAAAAGCGTCTCACTTTGGACACGTTTCACTCTATTTCTCCCTTTACTGTTGGTTCACGGCTGTCCCGATCCGTGCGCTTTAGAATGGCTCTCTACAGATGATGGATGTAGTGTCTAAGCTCGTTTCTTTCACCTTGTCCAAAGTTTTGGAGCTGTCAGGGCTCGATCACAACTGGAATGTGCTGAAAAGTAAAAGGATGGAGGAGAAAGCGCTGGAAGTCTACGGTACGTTGTTGTAATATGATGTATTTATGGACTTGTGGCAGAATGATAAGATTTTGGCCCAAATAAAGCCATCAAAATCTCTGTATTTCTGATATTGGTTTAGCAAGAACAATGAGATTACTTCCCACTATTACTTAACCACGAATCGTTCCTCAAACTGATGACCTGTTATGTTTTTTTTTGATGCTCTTAATGTCATTACTGCAATTAGAATTTTGCCCTGAAAATTGTGACAGTAAAACCAGTTGATTGATTGACAGTAAATTGACCATTTCTTACTTCCGAATGATACAGAGACACTGACAACTATGATTGATATTCGCTGAATATCTGAAAAATCTGGACAAAGCAATGTTTAAGACAAAAGGATGCCACGTCTTTTAATGGAAATGAACAGCAGGTGCACTAGAGCAGCAACAATGAGACAACCCCTATAACAGGACTGGTTTTGCATGTGGTCATTGTCAGACGCTATGCTGGTGCAGTCAATCCTGGGTTCCACTGCATGCCCCGCAATGCCCGGCCTCATGTGGCAAGAGTCTGTGGGCAAAACCTGGAGGATGAAGGGACTGATGCAATTGATTGTATTTAATATACTTCCATTAGCTAGCAGTTATTCTTCCTGGAGCCCTATGTAACATGTTTTAGGTTACAGCTGAATGGCCCTCACGATCACCTGACTTAAACCTGATAGAACACTTTTGGGACATTATGTTTGGGTCCATCAGACGCCGCCAGGTTGCTCCTCAGACTCTACAGGAGCTCAGTGATGCCCTTACACAGATCTGGGAGGACATCCCACTCCATCCGTCATGTTGTTAGGAACATGCCACGACATTGTCAAACATGCACATGAGCACATGGGGCCACACAAGACACTGAGAAACATTTTGAGTTGCAGAAATGACATTTTGGCAAAGTGGACTAGTCTGCCACATTATTATTTCACTTTGAGTTTTAGGGTGTCTATAAAATGAAGACCTCTGTAGGCTGAACATTTTATTTACATTAAGAGAGGTGGCATCCTCTTGTGCCTAATGCATTGCCCTGTCCATATTTGTATAGATATCCAATACTTTTTATTAATTTGTTTTTTTCACATTGTGATCTGATGTATTCTGATGCGTTTAAATATTCCTTAAATTTTTTTGGAGCAGTGTATATTATTGAATCGTTGCTGTTACAGTGGTGTTATTTTTCATCATTCTTTAACCTAAATCCACTTGCACAAAAACACATCCACAGTGGTAGGGATTGTGCTGCTAACCTTCAGGTCTCTGGGACCTCTTGAGCAGAGAACAGAATGCAAGTTACTCAACAACACAAACCTCTTTGCCACTTTAACGTTCTGACAATAACTCAAAGTCATTTTTTTCTCCTCTCAGATGTGATCCGTTCCATTAGGGACCCAGAGAAGCCGAACACCCTGGAAGAGCTTGAGGTGGTGACTGAGAAGTGTGTGGAGGTCCAGGAGATCGGGGATGAAGAGTACCTCATCATCATCAGATTCTCCCCAACGGTGCCTCACTGCTCGCTGGCAACTCTCATTGGTATGTTTCTACCCTTTATGAGCCATTATTTCACACAGTCTACATTTTAAACCCATCTAGGATTAGACTGTTAAACCAACAAGGTCACATACATTTACACATACATACAGAAGGTACAAAAACTGCAAGGTGAATAATAATAATAATCACAATCATAATAATAATAACCATCACTGACCACAACCATCACTGATGCTCACACCACACTGAAAAAAAAAGGTTGCTGGATTTGCATAAAAAAGTTCTGGAAAGCGGTTGCGTGCAAAAAAATTATGTTTAGGCTTTGAAACTTATTTCGATCCCCTTACATTAACTCTAATTTCAAATAAAACACCACAAACATGTTTTAACAATGACTACATTCTAGTCCAGAGAAGCACATAAAATCTTTGAAAAGTCTCACCTCCAGATCAGCTCTCATAATCCTCCTGCTCCACACTGCATGTTCTCTGCTCCTGTAACTGTCCTGTGTCCTGTTACATTTGAATTTTCCCTCCAAATGTTTTGGGGAGAAGAATTCCAGAGGGAGGAGCCTCACCAGAGATTATAATAAAGTCATGCTTCCTCAACCTGATTAAAACCTGCAGGTCTCACATCGACCACAATCAAGTGACCTTTGTAAGATTTAAACATGCTGGACAGAGATATGTAAAAAAGTTATGTTATTGTTGTCAAATTAGTTTTTGCAATTTGAGCAACCCCTCTCAGACCATTTTTTCAGTGCACATTCATTCTAGACAATGTGGGTGAAATGTCTTGTTTAAGGACACAATGTCAAAATTTTTCCACTGGCGACTCACTGCTAGGTGAGAGGTCTCCCATCCAAGTACAAACCAGGCCCAGCCCTGATGAGCTTCAGAGATCTGACAACAAGGAGGTTTGGCCACAGATACAACAATCCAATCAAAACCCAAAAACATGTTACACAGGTCTCCAGAACAGTTCATAGTCAAGGCCAGTTAAATACAATCAATCAATGAATCTGCCCAGGGACGACAGGTGGAAATTAGCACTGATGCTACAACCAGATGTGCAATACATCTCTCCTGTTAAGGTTAATGCAAAAATTTTGCGCTGTCCCTGTCTCAAATAAATAAAATAAATAAATAAAAAGATACAGTAATACACCTGTGAAACAGCAATTGCAATTAAAGGTTCATCATGTAACTTTTCAAATGTTGACTCCAGGAAGGTGTTATTTCTCCACCCAGAACTGTATTTCGATGTTCCATGAAGCTACAGTGCTGTGGTCACGGTGTTCACCATATGAACCATGTAAAGTGACGAGTGCTGGTTTAATAATATAGCAACAGTGTTATGGCCTCACTGTTGTCTTAGTCAATTCAGGGCAAACGTGCCTGAACTGCCTAACCATTCATATAATACACCACTAACCATTCATATAATACACCACTAACCATTCATATAATACACCACTAACCATTCATATAATACACCACTAACCATTCATATAATACACCACTAACCATTCATATAATACACCACTAACCATTCATATAATACACCACTAACCATTCATATAATACATTATTCATATAATACACCACTAACCATTCATATAATACACCACTAACCATTCATATAATACACCACTAACCATTCATATAATACACCACTAACCATTCATATAATACACCACTAACCATTCATATTAATACACCACTAACCATTCATATAATACACCACTAACTATTCATTAATACTCCACTAACCATTCATTAATACTCCACTAACTATTCATTTAATACACCACTAACTATTCATATAATACACCACTAACCATTCATTAATACTCCACTAACTATTCATTAATACTCCACTAACCATTCATTAATACTCCACTATCCATTCATTAATACACCACTAACTATTCATATAATACACCACTAACTATTCATTAATACTCCACTAACCATTCATTAATACTCCACTAACTATTCATTAATACTCCACTAACCATTCATTAATACACCACTAACCATTCATTAATACTCCACTAACTATTCATTAATACTCCACTAACCATTCATTAATACTCCACTAACCATTCATTAATACACCACTAACTATTCATATAATACACCACTAACCATTCATTAATAAACCACTAACTATTCATTAATACTCCACTAACCATTCATTAATACTCCACTAACTATTCATTAATACTCCACTAACTATTCATTAATACTCCACTAACTATTCATTAATACTCCACTAACTATTCAATAATACTCCACTAACCATTCATTAATACACCACTAACTATTCATTTAATACTCCACTAACCATTCATTAATACTCCACTAACTATTCATTAATACTCCACTAACTATTCATTAATACTCCACTAACTATTCATATAATACTCCACTAACCATTCATTAATAAACCACTAACTATTCATTAATACACCACTAACTATTCATTAATACTCCACTAACCATTCATTAATACTCCACTAACTATTCATTAATACTCCACTAACTATTCATTAATACTCCACTAACTATTCATATAATACACCACTAACCATTCATTAATAAACCACTAACTATTCATTAATACTCCACTAACTATTCATTAATACTCCACTAACCTATTCATTAATACTCCACTAACTATTCATTAATACTCCACTAACCATTCATTAATACACCACTAACCAACACAACATGGTTTTGTGGGATGTCATTGAGGGGCAATGCAAATATCAATATGAAGAGGTCTTGAAATGCGAATAACTGAAGCAGACAGACACTAAAGTGCACTAAGTGTTGCAGCTGCAACATTTTCACTGTGCGTCTTAGTCTCAGTCAGGTCTCAGTGCAGTTCAACAGGAGGACTGATCAGGGAGGGTGAGCAGATCTTGTGTCAGGGCAGAGGAGAGGAAGAGCTGAAAGTGTCTCTCCTCTGTGTCCTGCAGCATCACAGCAGGGGAGCGCCAGGTGAACACAACAGGAAAGGCCTCACATTTACTCCGCTCTGGTGCTCCTGTTGATGAAATGGTCCATTCCCTCAAAGTGTTTCCTCTGGATGATCTTCTGCCACATATGGTGTAAAAGCCTGTATCATCTCAAATGTATATATACTCCAAATGTACATGTACTCCTTCACCAGCGCATTTCACAAAATCCAACAGTTAGTCTGTTAGCCAGGTAGCCACAAAAGCAGCCAGCCGCTCCTTTAAAAAATGGAACCAAAATACAGTTTTTAACATTACATTACAACACTTCCCTTCTTGCCAAAGCCTGGTCTGGTCTGATCTCAGAAGCTCAGCAGTGTCAGGCTTGGGTCCTACTTGGATGGGAGACCACCTGGAACACCAGGAGCCACGGTGGAGCATCAGTGGCCAAAACTGTTGTGGTGTCTACAGGCAGGACACTTCAGCCATATTGTCTCTTATGAATATGATGTGTGTGAGTGTTGGTGGTGGTGGGAGGGGCTGATGGAGCAGATTGGCAGCCTCGCTTCTGTCAGTCTGCCCCAGGGCAGCTGTGACTACAATAGTATCTTACCACTACCAATCGTTCATGAATAATTAATTAACAAATTTTTAAGGATTTGTTAATAGATTATTAATTAATTATTGAGCAATCACAAAATCTGAAAACTGCAGTGAGTCAACCGTTACAATGGTCGACTGTCACAGCTGAAGAAGCCCACCCCCTCACAAACGTCCTAAACTTGTCCTGACATTACACGACATGACGTCCCTTTGCAGACATTCACTTAATACATGTGTCACTTACAATTTATATCTTAATAATAATTTCATTGCATTTCATTTTGTGCTTTATTCACTTTATCCAATCAGGTTTGATCTCATCGCTTCTGAAGTGTTTTTATCGTCTTGATCTTGGCAGCTTTTGTGACGCCTCTGCTTTGCCTTCACTCCTTTTATTCTTTATGGATAAAAATGAGATTTGCTTAAAATGATATCCAATTATGTCTTATTCTATTTCACTCTGAGCTGAATAAAGTTTGTTACCTCAGATCCAAGGTCACTTCCAAAAGGCTTAGCAATCAGTTCATGAAGTTTCTGTAAAGTCACTTTGCTTCTATTTAAATTTATGTTAATGTGTTGATATGAAAAATGCATAGAATTATCCCTAAACCCAAACATCTCAAAGGACGCTGTTGTCGGACACTTGAAAAAGACGTTTTTGCTTCAGAGTAAATAAGAGTGACTGAACTGTTTACTCACTGATAGTTAGGAACAGAAGGTTGTAATAACTCTTAAAGTGTTCAGTGAAACATAATGGGACCAAACTGACTGTAAATTCAGGCTAATTTGGCTTTTGGCACTGGCAATGAGAAAAATGCATCTTCCCCTTAATTACAAGTATCTGCAAGCATAGTTCTTCTCTGAAAACTGATATAAACAACTTGGTCTCTAATGACCGTGATTACAAAATAGCCATTGTTCTCTGTTCCTTGGTTCATTAAGTAGTTCTTGTATCATTTTCTCTTCTAAAAGGCACAGACGAGGCTGTGTAGGGCTAGGCAGGTAGGATTTACTTTGTACTTTCTCCCAGCAATTAAAATGACTCAAAGTGAATTCAATTAGCGGAAATTCCATTTACAAGCAAGGCAAAGCAAGTTACAGAATGTTCTCTAAAGTGATTTCCTCTCATCTTTTTATGTCTTCCTTATGGACCTGTAGTCGACTGGCGAAATTCTTGTTGGACTAAAGACGTGCTGCTGATCGATTAGTTGATAAAAAAGGAAGCGTGGCAAAATATCTCAAATCTATTCTGAATCTCTGTGTATCTGACCCAAACTGCACTCACAAGCTTACACCTGCAGGTAAAAGGAAACAAAAAAATACTGTTTATGTATGAGGAAAGTATGAGGAAACAATGTATTTGTATAAAGACAGATTATAAAACTATGAGTTCAATCTCCCTTTTTACATTTAATTATAAAAAAAATAAATACATAAATAAATCAACCATGCTTCTGCTAACTCACTCACTTCTTGGTGCTGTTGTCCGATATACGTCCTTGTCATCTAGATAAAATAATCAGTCAACTGCTGCTTCTATTCCAAGCTCCTCCTGTGCGCTCAGTAGAGCTGCTGCTCCTCCACATGGAGAGGAGGCATCTCGAACAGATCAGCATCTGTTCCAGATGCCTCCTGGACACCCCTGAAGGAGGTGTTCATGTCCCACCTGGAGGAGGCCCCAGGGAAGACCCAGGACACTGAGGGACTGTCTCTATTCTGACCTAAGGATCCTTGGGTTGTGGTCCACTCCACCAAATAATTGACTAAATGACTGATGGTTTACAGCCCTAATTCCTAACACAGTTTTTTCCTCTTTTGCAGGTTTGTGTTTACAAGTGAAACTGCAGAGATGTCTCCCATTTAAGCACAAGGTCAGAATGATACAACCTGCACAAAAGAACTGATAATATAACTGCTTTTACAGGACTATGTGGAGAATACTAAAAGAAAGTCACATACAGGTGCTTTTTTCAACCAGGATTCCTCATATGTGTAGTGTTAACCAGGCATTTTCTGTATATATTTATTCTAAGTAAGCCTATTCATGTGTGCCTTCTGCTCTTAGCCCTTCCTCTTGAATAACCTTTGACCTCAGAAAGCAGAAGTGCACAAACACTGATAATTGGCTCATTGAGTGCAGACACTGGAGGCATGTTTGTTACATGCCTCTCCTCTTCCTCTGTTTCAAATCTATACAAGTTTAATGCACAATATCACCCTAACAGTCAAAGCTTCACTAATCAAGGCTCTGTTGGTGCAGTTGGTTAGTGTGCACCCACATACCACAGTGTTGCTGGTTCAGAATTATGCGTTTCTCGAGACAAAACATTTACAGTCATGTATTACATGTATTTACAGTCAACTAGACACAATAGAGGATTTAACTTTAAAATGTTTTAGCTGAAAGATTGGGAATATCATGGTGATGTTATTTAAATAGCAAATGTCCCCAGGAGGAGTAGCTGATGCAGTGTGCTGTAGATGCTAATGCAAACTCTAACCCTGGGAATCAAAATAAACTAAACAATTCTATTGTCAAATTTGAGAACATTTTGAAATGAACCCGACTGAGATTTGGGTAAAGCCACTAAACTGTTCACAAGTAAGAGTCCTGTTACATTAAAATAGTATTTCTAGTGTTAAGTTGGAGTTAATTAATCACAATAATTGTTTATTACTCTGCTATTAAAAACATGTGACCATTTTGTGTAAAATGATTATGGGCTATACAGACTTTAGGCCATGTCAGAAAGTTCTAACGGTGTATGGTGTTTTGTTTTGTGTTTTGTTTCATTCACACATTTGACAAACACTTTATTATTCATTTGTCTACATCTCCAAAGCCCAAAATACCTCGTGATGTCATGTTGTGGTAGTTTTCAAGTTAATCACGACCTTTTCCCAGGACTGAAATCTCCTAAATGATTCTAGTGAAGGTGAGCACTTTCTGCTATTACCACATGACATCACAAGGTGGAACAGAGCCGTTTCTGTTTGAGCGAAGAACTAAGAACTCAAATCTACAGGGTGTGTGAATAAAACAAAACACAACTCCAGGTCTGTTTGTGATGAGGAAACTACTACATTATAACATTGGTTAGAAAATGGCGTCAAATGGGCCTTTCAAAAATGCATAAAAAATATTTGTTAGTTGCAGCTCTTAAGGTGTAGTAGTTATCCTAGTAATTGTTCAGAGCAAAAGTATTTTGGTGAGCATAAGCATGAAGTAACTGTTTTGTTGTGTGTAAACAGAGTCAGTGTACACAGTAGTGCTGGGAATCTCCACACTCTTACCCCGTTCAGATCTGTTCAGACATGCGTTGACAACACAACACAATACGACACAATACGACACAATACGACACAATACGACACAATACGACACAATACGACACAATACGACACAATACGACACAATACGACACAATACGACACAATACGACACAATAGAGGCTTTGCACCGTCACGTGACCCCTATAGCAACGGTACCTACGCCGCCATGACACCGGGCACGATACACCATTGACTTCAGCAGCATCGGAGAAACATGGGCAGGTTTTGTTTTGTATTTGGTTGTTCTAGACCAGGGGTGTCAAACTCATTTTGGTCCGGGGGCCGTATCCAACCTACTTTGGTCCCAAAGGGGCCGGATCAGAAAACTCATGTCATATAAACCCCAAAAATAACAATAACTTCAAATATTTGTGCAGAGAAACACAAATCTATTACAGAAATCTTTTTTAATTGATGAACTCTTTCTTATTATAATATTATAATATTATGAACAACCTGAAACTTTAAGAAAAATTCAATTTCAACACAATGTTTTAACATGAACTTGTATGCAAACAGGAATAAGTCAATTTTTCTTGTAAAATCCTGCTCTCGGCTCCACTTTTCTCATGTTGGACATTTTTCTGATGAGGGTGTCACGGTCAACAGTCAAAACGATCGTCCTTTAAGAGCGTTTGGAAAGAGACAAGTCTTCATTTGTGCTGCTCTGGTGGGAGGGGCCACGTACAGAGACACTGGAGACGCTGCTATGCTAAGTGACGCAGAAAATTACCAATATTTTAATAGAAAATATAATTACAATATTTTAGTAGAAAATCACCCAAGGGCCACATTAAAGGTCTCGGAGGGCCGGATCTGGCCCCCGGACCTTATGTTTGACACCTGTGTTCTAGACGCTCTTAACGGGATAAAATGAATCGTTTCTTCACTGTTCCTCTGGAAATGACTCATCAGGAGCTCAAACAAGGGAATTATCGAAAAAAAGACGGGAATTATGACTAGCAAAAATAAACCACGAAGAGATTTCCTATTGTACCATCAAGACACCTGAAGTTTCATCAAGGTATTTGCTATTTAAATAGTTTCATAGTTTATTTAATGAAAGAAGCACATTTACTGAACAAAAATTTCATTAATTTATCCAGGAAAACCCGCACTAGTTTACGATTCAACGAACCCACATTGGGCTCCTATGATCAACATGACGCATGAGTCGAAGAGTCTGTGAGCCAAACTTCGAAAGAATCGGCCATGAAAAGATCCTCGTGAACGTTAGAAAGATCCGCTCGCAAAAAGCAATTAATTCTAGAAGACATAGTTGTGGTTAAGCAAGGCAATGAAGAAAACATGGGTCCTACGACGAGTGACATGTTTATATGTGCACTGGAAGATACAGTTTCTACTGCCACTCACTCTGCAAATGTTTTCTTTTTAAATTTTAGTTTAGTAAATGTGCTTCTCTCATTAAATAAACTATGAAACAATTTAAATAGCAAATACCTTGATGAAACTTCAGGTGTCTTGATGGTACCATAGGAAATCTCTTCGTGGTTTATGTTCTCTAGCCATAATTCCCGTTTTTTTTCGATAATTCCCTTGTTTGAGCTCCTGATGAGTCATTTCCAGAGGAACAGTGAAGAAACGATTAGTTTTATCCCGTTAAGAGCGTCTAGAACAAACAAATACACAACAAAACCTGCCAATCAAGTCAATGACATATCGTGCCTGGTGTCATGGGGGCGTAGGTACCGTTGCTATAGGGGTCACATGATGGTGCAAAGCCTCTATTCAACACAATACAACACAATACAACACAATACAACACAATGCAATACAACGCAACACAACGCAAGACGACGCGACACGACACGACACGAACTACATAGTGGGGAAACATTACATTACATGAAGAAATAAATGTTAGCACTTTTAAATCTTAGTTCTTTGGGTTCTTTGGATCAAGGCATTTTAAAAGAAAAAGTAGCATATTTACAGTTTTATTAGCCTCCACAAATATTGCAGTAAATATCGTACTGTGAGATATATATCGTGAAAATATCGTACCGAGACATTTGGATATCGTTACATCAATACTGTGTACTAGGAGGGGGGCTATCACTCTAATCTGTTGTATAGGGGTATGCATAAATATCAAAGTATCAATATATCGTATCATTTAATGTGATGATACAGTATCGATATCATGGACTGCTGTATCGATATATGACCAAGAGTATGTTTTGTTATATTTTACTCAATTATTTTGTTACAGCGCTACAGTTTTTTTGCTTGTTTAGAGGAGGGAAACTTGTTTATGCAGCATATTTAACATTTTCACTGTTTTGATGAGTAAAATGTTTGGGTTTCATTTTCACTTTGCACAAGAAGTGGTTTAACAAAGACTTTTAGTATCACAGACCTGATTTAGCCTTTATTTTTTATTAAACCGTATCAAATCGATTTGAAATATATCGTATCGAACCTAAAGTGCACTGTTTTGAGATATGTATCATATCGAGGTCTGTGTATCGAGGTATGTATCGTATCGGCAACTTCTTAACGATACCCAGCCCTTCTGTTGTATCATATGAAGAAATGTGCAGAGGAAGATCCAAGGAGAAACGGGTCTGTCATCTGAACACATTTGACACAACTATTTAATCTTACTGACAATTTCACACTAAATTGAAGACCTAAAATGTCACAATAAGTCTGAAGTATTATCATCTCAAATGAACCATATTGTAAAAAAATTAGCTGCTTGGGGCGCAAAAAGAAAATGTGTGTAATCTTTCAAAGCGATACACAGTAAAGCCAAATGTGTATTAAATCTGGCCTGTTCTTCAAAAGGGGCTTTGAACCGTTTATAGTTCTAGTTGGTTCCCTTCTCATTGGCCATCAGTAGTTGTATGTGGAGTGATTTGTGCGTGTTTGAGCAATTACTTATTTTCAAGACGCCATTTTTCAGATCTACCCCCGTGTTCACAGCCACCAGTACGCTCTAGGCATGGAGCCATATTAAAATTTGGTGTCACGATTATTATAGCCAAAATAATTGTGATTAACAATAGATGCATCAAGAATTTCAGACTTCCGGTCATCATACAATCCATACTGAGAAGGATTTTCCGAAAAAGTGAGCATCAAACCTCCATGCTTGTTTTCCCAGTGGGATGTGTCTATTGACAAAGTCGATCTTTTCTAGTCTTTTGAAACATCACTTTTGTTTCTCGTTCTGATATTGCCATATTTTAGTTTTGGGATTCGGAGATCGTAATTGTGTGGTTGCTGGATCCTAACAGCAGAAAACGGCTCGAGAAATGTGTTTGCGAACTCCATAAATGCAAAAGGGAATCGGATGTGTGTGACTGCAAACCTCTGTTCAACCTGTTTCCCTTCCCAATGGAATTGAAAAATAGTGAAAGGTGAAGGCGATGGGCAGGATTGATCCACAGGAAGGACCAAAAAGGAAACCTTTGTCTGCCTAAGAAATCATCCCGAGTTTGCGGAGAACATTTTGTATGTGGAGCGACAACAAAACAAAATCCCGTTTGTTAAGTGAGAGGTGCAGAAGACA